GCCTCAGGCACGTCCCGGGAGCTTGCTGTCCAGTTTGTGGCACACGATGATGCGTCTTTGTCTTTTGTCTTTTTCGCTCCGCTGGCTAATAGCGCTGCTAGCCGCGCTAGTTTCTCATGTTGTCGAAGCGTTTTTCTGTGGTGCCTTTTATTGCTGAAGCTGAAAGATCTGGTCTCAGATCACGTTATGTTGCTTCTGTATTTGAATGTCGTCGTTTTTTTTATGCTCAGCCTTTGTTGACATTGAGACTTTGATGCAGTTTAAATGACGGGTCACTATTTATCATGAAGATAAAAAGTAGCACATCTTGGGGGAGGAATGTATATATCATTCTTCATCAAACACTGGTCTGATTATGTATTTAGTAAAGCCACATATTTTTGCTCCACTCCTGATGCTTCCTCTTTTGCCCTTAATAGATGCTTTGAGAGAGGTCTAATCTTCTTTACAGTGCGCTCGTTTGCAATACGCCCCATGGGCCCTTTGGTTATTGCGGATGCATCTGGCCTCGGCGTGATCACGGCCCAGAACAAACAGCATTATCTTAAAAAGCCTTTTGACATTTTAACTGGATTGGTGGATAAGCCCATGAACTCAATCGAGGGCTGTTGACAGCCGAGGCTTTGTTTGCAGCCCTTGGCATCACTGGAGTTGTCTGTAATGTCGAGGTAATGCTGTGTGAAAGTGATCTATGGTATTTTAGGCAGTCCTGGAGCCAACATTTTCCACTTGTATTTGAAGAGGTCTCCCCCCCCCCCCCACTCCTCCTCCGTTGCTTTGCCTCTCCGTGGTGCTCTTCTAAAGCAGGGCTACATTTAAAGGAGCAAAGAGCCTCCTGTGCGTCAACACCTCCTTCCCACCCTCTCAGCTGTCGCTCCGTGTCGCGTGGTCAACCTGTCTTACGACTTTCAATCCTAAAATATATGTTGCACCTTCAGACGGATTTCGCAATATCACTTTTCACGGTTGTGATGCGGAACAGCCCGAGGTGGTAAGGTGAAAGGACTATTTCATTCTCCAGCTCAAGGGGGAACCTCTGCTCTGTGGTGAATATATAATCGTGTTCTTGCAGTGGAAGCAGGTTTCCTCGGTTTAGGTTCAGATACTAATCTATGTTTAGAAGTGTGAAGATGTTTGTTTTTTATTCCAGTTGCAGGAATCCCAAATATAACTGTTTACACACACTATCCTTATGCAGCTTGGGTGCATGCAGACAGTAAGAGATGGGAATCAACCCTGCAACCTTGTGGCTAAAGGACGATCCCATCAATCCCCTGCGCTCCAGCCCCCTCCCCCACACCCCCCATCTAGTTCAAATACAAACCACATAAGTTATGTTGAGGGTACTATTCACTAGAACTATTTGCTTGTAGTACAGAAAAGACCATAAAAGGAAATAAAAATATGAAGCAACAGTGTGCACAGATCACTTTAAAGCCGTTGTGTATTTCAACAGGCTTTAAACTGTGGACTTCTCTAAGTCGGTTCAAGAAAATGTACGAGTGTGAGGTAAATTTCCTTATTGATGGTTAATGATTCTGTAGTAGTCATGACTCTTCTTTTTCTCACATTTCTGTAATTCTTTTGTTTAAGTAACTGTCTGACAGACCATCTCATTCCATTATTGCCTTTTGACAAAAATCCGATTTTGGACCAGGGGATGTGCACATAGGGTGGTGGTTTGATCGTAAATTGCTTTCTTAGTTTTATTTATTTCTGATCTGCGTTGACGGAACGAATAATAAATGTAATAAAATACGGTCACCCTCAGGATTTAGTATTCCTGACGGGGTTCATCCCCCCTCGTGGGTTGCAGCATCATGCAAGTCAGGGTTCAAGGTCCCGCCACAGGTGTAACAGACTGAACAAAACATGGTTCCGCTCAAAGATCGTTTTAGCTAACATGGGATTCAATTTAGTCCGAAGCGGAGCAGGAACATGGGTAGTTGCTTTGTGGTGATCGCTGTGCAGCGGCGTGTGCTGCTACTGCGTCCTTGCCCAGGGGGGCAGAGACTGTATTTTTAGAAGGCAATGAGCATATTCTCTCAACAAACGACGTCAAACACTCTGCTTGCGTATGCTCGGATTATGTTGACCAGGCTATTTTTAAACCATGCGTGTGTTTTTTTTTTTTTTGTGTGTTTTTTTTCTGGGTCAAGCATGGTGCCACACTGAGGCTACTGGTAGATCATGAATTACAGCTCCTGTGCCGTGATCTGCATCACTCACTAAGGAATGACTCAGAAAGATGGTGTAGAAATTGATGTGTAGTTTATTATTATAAAGGTGGAGCAATTGCTTATTAGTTCCAAGCCACTGCCGCCATGCATACAGAGTTGTGTGCTGTTATACTGTAATTTCATTTTAGCTCAAGTATCCATACAATCAATCGACACTAATGGTAATGGAAGACAAAATATGTAACAACCTCATATTTGTGGACGAGTTTGGGCATGTCTGTCTTTGTCTGTTGCTCCCATGAGCCAGATTTAAAAATACACAATCGCTGAAAGTAACACTGAAACAAAACCTGATAATTTGTTTATTTCAACACGAGAGGAGCAGATTGGGTGGAGGAGTGGGAAACTGAAGCTAAATTAAATATGGAATCTCTGACTAACAAGTATGTGAAATGTTTTCTCATTTAAACAATTTTGAACTGCTACATGTCCAATATTTTAATATATCCTAAAACTAAATAAAAGTACATTAAATCCTCACCTCTGTTGTTTTATAACTAAGCAAATAATTACTTTTAACTTGTATTTTCAATAATACTCAATAATAAAAAATATTCTATAAAATTATCATTGTACTGCATCAACAACTATTTAAGAAATGGATCATTTGTTCTGACTCGTAAAGGAAAAGCCTGTACGGGTTGTGGGAAACTGTTATTTGCCCTTTACATGTATTTCTGTCTTTTGATTTTATTGGAGAATTTATCAACAGCATTAAAAATCAACAGATGGATTCATGGTGGAGATAATGGTTTGCTGCAGCTCTAACAAGTAGGCATACGGTCATAATCCTGCCCGGCACACAATGCGGCTCTACAAATCCCACCGGCTCCTCCTCAGCTCAGCCTGCTAATTTAGACCATGTCGTGAATCAAGCGCATCCCCCCGTTATGCTGCCTCTCTCGGATTTGTTTCCCTTTGCGCGCCCAGTGCGGTGTTCTTGCGACGCATCGCCACATTGTTGAACCACGCACCCTCCGAGTAGATTGTGAAGCTGTTTGTCATCAACACCGTTAACCAGAGCGAGCGCTGTGGCCTTTCCCCTCTGCAGCCTGGCACGGACCCCCAGAGGCCTCTCTCTGCTGAGCTGCCGGCTTTTCTCTGGGCCTCTTCTAGCTGATCTAGTTGTATCGCGGTCTTTCCCAAGGGTGCAGTTATTTTCTGCAAAATGCGACTCTCTGCTCCAGTTTGGTCAATGTTGTGTTTTTCTGCAGAGCAACATTATTATTTGAAAGATTTATAGAAGACGATGTGCTCTGTTAATCCGAACACCTGCCAGTCTGTAAGCCAACACCTGCTCCTGGTTGAAAAGTTATACTGCATCTTTGTCAGCTTATTCGGTGAATGTGTCTTCAGCGGGGGAGTTGTTGGGGCGAGGACTCAATAGGTGGCGGACCGGAGGCTTTGCCGACCCCTGGAGCCTCACCAATGCTCGGCCTCTGTTCACTGGGTAAGTGACCCAGTTAGAATACTAATGTGATTAGAAAGGACAACCGGGGCTGCCAGAGGCAGAGAGTCCGGTTTCTGCCATCATTTAGAAAAGCGTGAATATTGGGGTTACGCAATGTTGTGTAGCCACATTGGGACGACCGGATCCAGGCGTGGCTGGGGGGTGGTGTTGCCACCTGTTAGACGCACGCAGGTCATTGCCGTGCCAGCAGCCGACTCTACGTACACAACGATTCCTTTATCAACTAGACTTCAAAATCTTTCTTTTTGAACTTTTAGCGGCTGTAAAAAAACTAAAAAAGAACTAACTTGTTTTTCATTGTCTTCTGCTCAGTGAACCTATGTTTTTACTGGTCTTTCTCACATGCATTCAACGATATGCTTCGTCACCCATTTTGACTGAAGACATCTTTATACCTCTTTCCTTTTTGACTCGTCTTGACTCGTTGCAGTCGGGATCTCGTCTTGGACTCGCTTGGCTCTGGAGTTGTTCCTCTCCTTGCGGTCAAAAGCAGACTTGTGCTACTCACGCCACCCACACGTTGGTTATGTATAGCCAACACCTACCCCCTATCTGCCCAGTGGATTGAAAACAACGCTTTGTGTAACTCTGAGGCTGCTATTTGTGAAACCTCGATCATGCACACGGGGTTCTTAAAATGTTACGTAAGGCTCCCCACTCAACTGTAATCCCTCTTACACCGAGTGAGCCCCCCCATGTGACTGTGCTGGGAGGGACAGGGTGGCCAATTGGGGACGTCTGCAAGGCACGGGTGCTCTCGGTAGACTCCGGCCACCTGACCCCCCCCCCCGCCCCCACACACACACACGCACACACACACACACACACACGTACTGAGCTGTGGCTTGTGTATAAGAAGAGAAGTTTATTGTGGAAAATTCCTTACTTGGAACTGGGACGCTGGATGGAGACACGACGCTCGTCCTGGGTCCCGGGGTTTGGATATACAGGAACTACATTGAGCGTATTCCGTGAATGATACTCCGGCTTTCCTCTCCTCTGCATCTGCTTGTGAGCCACAAGAATGAATCTTTGTCGTCTTTTATGTGTTGAGGAATTTGCAGCTTCTGAACATTTTAGTTTTCTCATGACAAATCTTTTTTTTCTTTCTTTTTGTACTGATTGAAGCTGGTTTCTGCTTGTGGGTGAAGACCTTTTTGAAGAACCATTCCATTTTTCTTTGGAGAATCAAAAATCCCATTCGTGTTAACAGTATATTTTGACACACCACTAACTGTTTTTTTTTCATAGCTTACGTACCTTAATGCTTTTATTTTGTTCTTCCGCAGGAACCGTTTACGTGGACTTCGGCGAGTGATTGGACAAGTCGTAGATAGGAGCCACCTCCAGTGTTTCCTGTCCCTTCTCCTCCTCCTCACCCTCTGTCCCTCCATCTCCCTTCCCTTGTCAATTTTCCCCCTCCTCCAATATCCATCATGCTTATCAAGGAGTACCGCATCCCCATGCCCATGAGTGTGGAGGAGTACCGTATTGCCCAGCTCTATATGATCCAGGTGAGGTCACAGCGGCATTTTCCCCACAGAACTCTCACCCACACAAAACTGTCAATAGTGCAGAAACCAGAATACAAAGACGAGCTGTAAAAGAGGTACAGAGTGCAATTGCAGCGTACCCAATTATGAAATGGTTGGTCACACGGTCTGACGTCAGTGGTGTATTGGAACAAAGACCGGTTTGTGTGCTGATAGATTAGCCAATTTAAACTCTATGAAGGTGACTGTTTGCAGCAGTCAGAGACTGCATGTTTCTTCACAAGGAAGTTGGGAGCACCCCGCTGTCACTGCAAAGTGGTTGCACACATACTGACACAATGCATATGGATGCACTGCTTTGTAAGCGGCAGACAGTTTCATTTATGTAACCATGCGTGAGCTTGGGGAGTCTCGGGGGTTTGTGTAAGAGCTTTAGGGTTACAGCTCCAATAAATATGAGAGTGAGAAATATTTGCAGTGTCAAGTGAAATCACAAGCTAAATCTGGTAAATTTATGGTATATGAACTTCACTTTACAGCCAACACTTGAAGTCCACTTGTATGAACACTAATATACCCTTGAGGGAGGTGATGGGCGCTACAAAGCAGCGCAGCCCAGGGGGCAGCTCCGTTGTGGAAGTTAAACATTTATCAAATGATAAGAAGAAGAGTTCTGGCTTTGGTGACCTAAAGTGCCTTTTCTCTGAACTCACTGAGTGCACAGACTTGTTTCTGTGAAGCTTTTGTCACTATGGCGACCATGACATCAGCACCATGCTGGTGGTCAGGTTCTGTTCGTGTGAGGGAGTGAATGAAAAGAGGAAATGGAGGATAAAAAGAGAGGTTTCAAAGAAGGGAGGGGGAGAAAAACGAGAGAAGAGGTGGATGGAAAAGAGGGAGAGAGTTGTCTTCTGAGCGGAGAGGACTTTTTTTTGGCGTCTCTGAATGCCATCACTTCATTGCTGTATGTTACCAGGGCAACTGCAGCATGCCTGGCTGCGATTGCCTCCCCAGTGTTAGCATCATAGATGAAGTTGGGCCTTTGGACAGCCTGGCAATATCGGCACCTCAGCCGGCAATGCCCCATCCCATCTCTCCTCCCACTTCCTTTCCTTTGCCCTCACAACACCGCCTTCTTATTTGAGGGATAATTGTAAATGAATTATCACCACATAGAGATTTGCGGTAGTGCACGACGCAATGGCTGAATGTGTGAGAAATTAAATATGAGAAGATCTCGCTGTGTCTCATTTGTCAGCGCACATCCATCATGTTCTGACTAAGCAAATGTATCTGTGGAGTGAAGTGAAAAGAAGCTCCTCAGACAGGAAACGCTCCTCACTAACTTGAGGGCAAGAGAAATACACCAGGATGTGACTCCCATCCTGTCAGAGCTATCGGATCTGAACGCATACTGCAGGCTCTCGTGATGATTCGATGTCTGTTTGAAGAAAAGTTGGTGAGGGGGCAGCCAGGGCTTTAGGGTTAGGCTTAAAGTGGCCACAGAGCGGCACTTTGTCTTTGTGTGCTGTGCCAAAGGGGATTTGCAGTAAAATGCCGTGGAGGAGAGGCCCTCCCCTTTGGAGACCGTGAACATGCCTTCTGAGACTCTTGGAAACTGTTCCTTCTTTAATGTTCCTCCGCCGGTACAGTTTGTACCTGCACACAAATGAAGAAAGCACATTGTTGTCATTACGAATCGAGTATGACATTTAGTGTTTCATTTAAGTGAAAGCATGTTATCTATTCCCTCATGTCCCATCTTGCCTAAGTGAACAGCTGAGCCCTGGCTTATGTTTTGTAATCTTTCTTCTGCTCAACTGGTGAGAATCATCTGTCTCATTTGGCTGGTTGCTGTCGCACGTCCGCAGTCTAATCAAAGCAACAGTCCACGGTGGAATGCAATGAAACAACATTTTTCCCTTTTTTCCCCCAGACTGCTGACTTGACATCCAGACCTAATTTCCCCATTACCAGCTTGCTGCATACATTTTTATGGTGTTTGTATGTGTATAGTTCACTGTCCGGGTACATCAGCTACGTTTCAACGTCCGGTTTGCGTCCTGTGCGGGGGTGTGGGGATGTAGCGATGCGTCTGTGCTGTGTCTTTGGAGCCGTGTCTGGGCTGTTGAGAGCAGGGCGGCTGGCTAATGAAGGACCTGTCAGAGGTAATGAGCTGCAGAGCACTGGACAACTCATGGCTTCTCTACCCCGCCGCCTCGCCTTCATCCTGGACTGTACTGGGAAAGTCTGCTTCCCTGTTATCAGAGAGACGCGCTAAATACTGTGTGATACTTTCTGTGTGTTACATTGTGTATGTGGCTCGTGAGAGCAATCCGATACATCCGTAATCTCTGACATTTATGGTCCTTGCTCTTTGCTTCCAGTGATCTTTAATATTGCTGGCACTTGGACTATGCTCTGCCTTCCACATCTTCCCCTTTTCACTCATTTCATAGTCTTCAAAGTCTTCTTCCTCTCTGCGACAAATTCCTGTCTTTGAAGCTTTGAGTCACCTAGCTGTAAGTCTCCTCAATTGCATCTGCAGGGAACAGCGAGCCTCTCTTCCTGTGTGCACCTGTAATGTAAATATGGGAAAGGTGTGGCTCCATGAGCAACTGTTGCTTATTTGCAATTCAGAGCCAGGAGAGGATTCAGGAAGTAATTAATTTGGGTGCACGTGTAATCTTGTCAGATTCTTATATGCAAAAGGAACCATCTTGATTTTTTCTTTCTTTTTTTTGGTTTTCCATATACATTTGGGTTCTTTATTTTAAATGTAGCACTCCGTTTACACCTTACTGCTTAAATGCAAACATAAACCCTATTAACTCACACATTTATTCTTCTAACAGAAAAAGAGCAGAGAAGAGAGCTGTGGTGAAGGAAGCGGGGTGGAGATTCTAGAGAATAAGCCCTACACAGATGGACCCGGTGGGTCGGGCCAGTACACCCACAAGGTCTACCATATTGGCATGCACATTCCCAGCTGGTTCCGCTCCATCTTGCCCAAAGCAGCACTGAGGGTGGAAGAGGAGTCCTGGAACGCCTACCCTTACACCCGCACCAGGTGAGGTCCGCAGGAGGGACACCTCTGCACCCCTCAGGGTGGGAGTGTATCAGACTACGCCAAGGGTTGCAGCACACTGTTTTATTTAAAGAATACAAACGTTCTCTGCATTGGTGTACACACATTTGGAAGCACACATTCTCCTTCCGCTTGTTTGGGAGATATTTGAAACATTGCTTGTATTCGGTATGAAATTGCACGAATCTTATGATCCCGCTCTAGCTGGTGGGCCTCAGTAAAAGCCTACAGAAAAATAATGACCTGCGAGCGAGTTGTCAGAATATTACACCATCAGAACAGTGTGTGGCCAGCAGCTGCTGGACTTTGATGGGCCCTCCCTCTCATGGCGTGTTTGTCTGTGGGGGGGCCTGACACACACACAGAGATATGAGAAGGTGCTGAACAGAGATGTGCCCTTGACTGTATTGTCGGGATATTGATAGACTGCGAGGGCCTGTTGACACATCTATTCAACCAGTGACAGCTTTGCTTCAGACACCTCGGATGCAACAGATGGGCACGGCTCACACATTTCCTATCGGCAGTGAGAGGGTACATCTTGATGATGTAGTCCTGATCTTAAGCCACTGAGTTGAGAGATCTTTAATTGAAAGCGGACGTGAGGCATAATGCAATGATGCTTTGTTGGGACATTTGTTCCGTTTTACTGTATATTTGCTGATTTTTCTTGTTCAGGTACACCTGCCCCTTTGTTGAGAAGTTCTCCATTGACATTGAGACCCACTACAAACCCGACACAGGCAACCAGGCAGATGTTTTCAACATGTCTGCAGTGGAGAAGAGGCAGCGGTCTATCGGTAAGACTATTTAAAACCAATATTAAAATATTAAGTTCAGTTAACTCTCACAGTCTAACACATTCAGTCAACTCAAAATAACCACTGCGTAGCTCTTTTAGAAGACCAACATTCTGATATTTCCTTTAATAGTTATTTGAGAGAGTTGTTTAATGTTTAATCTGATGTCTTTATATGAAACATAGGAAGCAGACAAGGCCCACTTGTGGCCATGTAGTGGTACCGCGTGTTTTTTCTGTTCCGGTAGCGAGCCCGTTGAATATGAAGCTGCTGAGAAATGGATGGTTTTAGGGCATACGGTGACCCAGTTACCACGTTCATTGTAATCATTTTAATGAATTACTTATTCTTTTGTGTATATCCAACCGTGCAATTCAGATAATAAAGTAATTTCATGCCTTTTCAACACAAAGCCTTAAAAATTCTACTGACCCTCTCCCTTCCTCCCCACACACTTTTGAAGTTATGTATGATATAAATGCTGAGTATAATTCATTCAATATATTTAAACTACCTGGCTCCATTAGTCATTGCTTTTGCTCTCTTTCCTTTGGCAGACCCAATTGACATAGTGACGGATCCCATGTCCCCTCATGAGTACAAAGCAGAGGAGGACACACGGCTCTTCAAGTCGGCCAAGACCCAGAGGGGTCCTCTGCAGGACGACTGGATAGAAGAGTACAACAATGACCCTGGGAAGACCCCCATCATGTGTGCCTACAAACTTTGCAAGGTGGAGTTTCGTTACTGGGGCATGCAGTCTAAGATCGAACGCTTCATCCATGATGTTGGTGAGTAATGCAGTCACAGATCTAATTTGCAAGCTTGTTAGTTTACTTGGTTTAACATCCCATTTTTACTGCAATGTTATCTCATAATTCTATATGAGAATCTAAATGTAGAAACCGTTTGCTTTGTCTCAGTAGTAATATTCTCCATCGTTTCTCCCCAGGACTGAGGAAGGTAATGGTGCGTGCCCACCGGCAGGCCTGGTGCTGGCAGGATGAGTGGTACGGTCTGACCATGGAGGACATCCGGCACCTGGAACTGGAAACCCAGCTGGCCCTGGCCACCAAGATGGCCCAGTTCAGTCAGGCAGAGGAGGCCACAGAGGCCAATGGAGGCGCTCCATCTCCAGACAAAGACCAGGAGGCTAAAGAGGCGATCAGCTCTATCGAAGCTGATGAGGTGGTTGAAAGCTCAAGCGGAGAGGTTCTCCAGCCTCGCGGCGTACTCACCAAGCAGTGGTCCACTTCATCCCGATCCTCCCGCTCGTCCAAGAGAGGAGGTTAGGAGCATTCCTACTTCACCTATTTGTCCGTCACCTGTGTGAATGACGGCGTTGGTGAGAGACTGTCCTGAGCCACACTCCTTCCTTCACATATTATCTCATCTATTACGCTTTCTCAAACTTAATTCTTCGGTATGTCCACCTTTTAAAAGGTTGTGGTATACCAACAACAAACTGTTACATATGTAAACACAGCCAGATGTGATATCTGAGACTTGTCAGCATGGCAGCTTGTATTTGAAGGATTCAGCAAGGTCAAGTGTCAAGTGTCAGCATAGCCACGGTAGCACTATTCTGTTTCTGTTTGCATAATTGTTGTGTGTGCTGTTTCTTTGTAGTGGAGTTTTAAGTCTGTGTATCAAACACTCACCCCACTAGAAGATTGAATGGTGGCCGTTGAAGCTTACTGGTTTGCTGTTGCATAAGGATTATCCGGTGATTGGATTAATAAGTGTTGCAATGGACATCAAGATTGCCTCAAAGCTCTGTGGCTCCACAGGAAGTAACGTAATGGCTCACATCTCAGTGAAGAAGCAAACTAAAAGGTCTTCCTGAAAGACAGTAGAAAGTGTGAGTCAAACGGAAAAATGGCATTGCCCACGAGAAGTCCATCCAACCAGAAGAACTAGAGCCGATTTTGTGTTTAAGTTCAAATTGCTAATTATCTTTTAGACACCTGATTATCTTTGAATAATTTTGCTCTACTTGACTGTTTGTACTCAAGTCTCCACATTTGCTGTACTACCCAACTCACCTCCCCTCAACCCTACAGCTGTGTGTATCTCACCTGGGTTCAAACACATCTCTGGTGTCCCCTCGAAACACTGCTCAATGTAGCTGCCATTTGGACCCATGACTCCCATCCAGCTTGCCTTGTCTCACCCCTTCTTCTCCCCCCTTGTGGTTCTCTCCCGGGCTATTTTTAGCAGCAGTGCTGACGTAACGGGCCAGAGGAGGCCGACGCTCTTAAAATTGACCCTCCCCTCCTTTCCACCACTGCTGTTTCCTACTGTGCGCTGACAGCTACAGCTGTGCCGCCCCTCTCACCAGCCGGGCCCTCAGAGCAACACCCCCTCTCTCCTCACTAATTCTATGCGTGAGGCATGGACAAAAAGACATGTGATAGACACGGCCCACTTTTAGTATTGACATTTTCCCCGGCTGGCATTTGGAGTGCTCGTGGCTTGTCTGGGTAACATTGGGCCTCACTTTTCACCCAAATCCCCCGTCCCCTTCTTCCACGACCACCAAGCCGTCCATCTGGGATGCACCAAAGAGAACGTTGCATGTTTATATAACACTGTGTGTTCGTGTGGGCTGGGGGAGATTGTGCCATGTTTCTTTGTCGTGGCGTGTGTGTGTGTGTGTGTGTGTGTTAAAAAGGGAAAGAGAGAGGCTGAAACACATGTCCCAAAATAACAGTGCCTTTTTTTTTCATGTGCGTTGTTTCAGTGAGCCCATCACGTCACAGCCTCTCGGAGTGGAGGATGCAGAGCATCGCTCGAGACTCAGAAGACAGCTCTGACGAGGAGTTCTTCGACGCTCATGGTAACCACAGTTTTAAGAATTTAAATCGGAGTTAATAGTTTGGTCAGCAGCGTTGTTTGTTTTCAGTTTCCCAAGAACCGGCTTGTTCCCCTCTCCTCCTGACTCTGCATGCATCTCTTTAACCACAGATCAGTTCTTAAGCTTCCCAGATACCCAGCATGCTTTGGGGCTGCAGTTGAAATAGGTGGGTGTGGTGCGGTATCCGTGCTCTCTGCTGGATGAGAGCGGCCGAGGACATGGGCGCAATCCGTCATCCAGTCGTCCTGTACAGAACTCAAAATTGTCCATCAGTTCGCATCATTGTTGACATGCACGAGAACAAATCCTCTACAATTCACGATGCAATAAATGGGGTTAAAGTCTTTTGTTTAGCGATGATCATGATGATGAAATGAGAATAGAAATTGTCATTGTTATTTTATTAATACTGATTCAGCTCTATCCATGTTTTTCATGTTTCAAGTTCAATAAAATTCTGCTCATGTCATGTGAGAAACTGGTATGATGTAAATTCACAGAATATTGTTAAAATCTGATAATTTATTACAATATTCATGTTTGTATTGACTAATTACTGTGAGTTGGGCTCCGAACATAACACATTTGTGAAAGAGTGGATTAAATGTGTGACTATGCAGTGATTGCTGACATTAACAGCCGATAGCGAAGCCTGCTGTTGCAAAAGGGTATGGCATCCACCAAAGAACAAGCATTTGTTCACAGAACCCTCACGCACTGCTCCCCCCGACTGTGGACCATGGGCATTTAGAATGGGATTTAACCCCCCCGCCCTCCCACCTTCTACCTAAATGCCTGGTTCCTGCTCAAGTGCCCATCTCCGGTTATATTTGGTTTAGCAGCACACAAACTACAATAAATAAAGCCTGTACACAATATAGTCTACAATATGGCTGACAAGGCATAGTGAGCAGCATATTGTTTGTATATACCTGTCGTCAGGTGATTTTCAGCAGAAATAAGCAGTTATGTTATTATGGTAAATACATTGGCTAATTTCTGTTTTCTGTTTTGCCAACAAATAAAGGAAAGGTGAACTCCTCATAGGTTCCACATGCACTGCCGTTTGTATTGCAGTACGAATTCTCTAAAAAAAAAAAAGTTCTTAACCTTTTATTAGCAGGTTTATAGTAGTTATTTGTGAAGGTAAAACCTATTGAGATACCTCTACTGTCACACCTTAGTTTATATTACAGTTTAACACTTCATTTTGAGACATGTTTTTTAATGAAAGACATTAGGAAAAGTTTTACTTGAAAAAACAAATGAAATATATAGTCCCTGGTTGTGGAGCTGTGTACAGTGTCTCAGAAACTTATAAATGAATGAAAGAAGTCTTATGTTTCTGAGAAACTGGCTGCAACTTCCTCTTCATCCAACAGTCGGGTTGTTAATTTAATAGCTGCAGTGGGAGTAAATCACATGACATTTCTGCATACAATTTGAGGTTTTAGAACAGATGATGGCATCCTTTTTATGAAATATGAAGCCACTAACAGCTAACCAGGAGAGAAGTTATGGAACTAAAAGATCCTTCATCCTGCAGCTGATGGATAATGCAGTCATCAATTTATTTATGTAAATACAAGAGATTATCTTCTCAGTAGGGAAGTAAATAGATTAGTTTTCCTACTTTCAAAATCCATTCTGGTAATATAAATACATTATCGACTGGCCACTGCAACACACCGGTACAACAATTATACTTCAAACATGAAAGTACTCTGCGTGCATTTGATGCTCACAATGAAGTAGTTATAAATATTTATTTACTGGTTTATTTGACATCTTTTGGGAGCACTTGACAAGGTGCCTTATGCTGATTAACATTAAATAACTAAAGACGCAAATGTTACTCATATGAGTCATGATGCATTGTTTATTCTCTTAAAGGTGTGAACCCTGAGTTTATACTGTTCATCACAATTCACATTGTGTCGCCCCATGCAGAGGATCTGTCGGACGGCGAGGAGGTCTTCCCAAAGGAGATCGCAAAGTGGAACTCCAACGACCTCATGGACAAGATGGAGGCTGCAGAGGAAACGCCTGGTACGATGAAGAGTACGAGCACCTCATCACGGAAAGTCACTCTGCCGCACTGGTTGATGTTAAGATTGTGTTTGCAGGGGAGCTGTTGAAGGAAATGACAGTGGATTATGAAAGAGCAACCAGCGAGGAAAGACTAGATGAGGTACGTGTGTGTGTGTGTGTGACAGCGACAGAGTGTTTACGTAACACAATCCTAACCAGCAGAATCATGTCTGAAGTGAACACTCCTGAAGGACCCCAAACAAAAAAAAAATACAGCACTTCAGGAGCCAAAAGCTTCATTTCAACATGGTATCATTATACTAAGCACAATCGTTTGCATCAGGTTTTACAGTTTGGAGGATAAGAGAAGGGCTGTTTGTCCCTGAGCCTCTCTGTCCTCTTGTGTTCAGATGCGTGGCTCTGTTAGCGGCCAAACCGATAGCACTCCCATTCCTACCATCACGGTAACGAGGCACCAGTCAGTAAGTAAACGTTTCGGCCCTAGTGCACTGTGGGCTACAGTAGCTCCGCAGGGACCCCCGATACCCCTGAACAAACCCAGTGTTTACTGGCTTTTTTCCTGCGTTGCCAAAATCCAAATCCATGTGTGCTCCTCAACCTCACCCACCTATGTTCAACTTCTGTGTACGTGCAGCTGTGGCGTTGAGTGTACATGAGTGCTTCTTTGAAAAGTTTTGTACGTAAAACATAAAACTGCACATTATGTTGTATTTAATGTGACTCGTCCTCAAGAAGCCTTGTCGTTGTTTGCTGTTAGTTGAACAGTTGTCCGGGTGGAGCGTTGGTCGGCTCTGCTCCTGTTTCCCTTCATGGTTCCTTACTCATCTCTGGTTGTGAAAATACAGTCCCCTCCAAAAGTATTGGAACGGTAAGGCAAATTCCTTTATTGTTGTTGTTCACTGAAGATATTAGGGATTTACTTTAAAATGTCAGTTCAAGCCTCGAGTCCAACTTTGAGGTCTTATTTCTGGTATTCACATCTAAATGTCATGAACAACTCTCGTCATCCCACCCTTTGTTTGAACCCACCCTTTTTTCAAGTGAGCAAAAGTATTGGAGGGTGGGTTCAAACAAAGGGCGGGATGTCGTGAGTTGTTTAACACATCAAGATGTGAATTCCAGGAAATAAAAGCTGAAATACTGAACTCTTGTCTCATACTCATCTTTTTATCTTAAACCCAAATGTCTTCAGTGAACAACAACAATAAAGGAATTTGCCTTACCGTTCCAATACTTTTGGAGGGGACTGTAAGTTTGTTTGTTATGGTGGTGTCCATGTGACTCACATATCTGACCCAAACCCAAATAATGACATACACATAGCAGAGGCATTATTGTGGATCTGTGACGTCTTTCACTCTGTAAGCATGTGGTCTTTGGTCATGCAGATAAAAGGGATATCTTCTTAAATACAAATCTAGTTCATTGAGAGTCATCATCCCCGGCATCCCGTCCATCACGCTGGTTGTTACATTTCTGTTCTCAGGAGAGCTTGTCCCAGCCGTGTCTGCAGCCTTCCAAGATCCACGTGCTGGTCTTGGTTCTGCACGGAGGGAACATCCTGGACACAGGCGGGGGGGACCAGAACAGCAAGCAGGCCGACGTCAACACGATCAGCACAGCTTTCGACGCGGTCATGCGCGTTCACTACCCCGCAGCGCTGGGACGCATCGCCATCCGCCTGGTACCCTGCCCTGCCATCTGCGCCGAGGCCTTCTCCCTGGTGTCCAAGTGAGACCACACACAATGCAATGTTTCGGCACGGCACAAGCCTCGTGAATAACGATCGGCGGTTTCTGTTTTGTTGACTGTGATTTCTGTTTGCTTATGATGGAAACGATCCAGACGCAGCTCGAGTCAGGCACTGGTTGTTTCCTCACGCTGCTCTGGGGACTACGTCTTGATCTGAAAATACCTTCACAAATTTAATTTGGCTCATTTGCGTGTTTTGCGGGCAGCCTGAGCCCGTACAGCTACGATGAGGGTTGTCTGTCCAGCAGCCAGGACCACATCCCCCTGGCAGCGCTCCCTCTACTGGCAACCTCGGCTCCACAGTACCAGGACGCCATGGCCGCCGTCGTCGTCAGAGCCAACCAGGTGTACACAGACTTCCTCAAGTCCCTTGACGGTGCAGCTTTCTCTGGCCAGGTTAGTTAGTCGGGTGTAAGATGCTATTCTAGAACCGTTTTTTTTTTTTCAATTCTCAAAGGTATATATACTGACATTGTCCTTGTCCTTGGCTTTTTGTATGAAAACCTTTACCAACCTTTTATATATATATTTTAAAACTTTTACTTCCTCAGTAATAGCATGTTTATACCTTATGGATTTGTGGCAAAAATATAGATATAGTCTTATTAACTTGTCTGCCCATTGGCCTGTTCAGGTGTGCCTCATCGGGGACTGTGTGGGAGGAATCCTGGGATTTGATGCGCTGTGCAGCAGCAACCAGACCGTCAATGAAAGCCAGAACAGCAGTCGCAGGGGCAGCATAGTGAGTGGGCAGGTAAGACACAAACCCCTTATACATACGTCAAAAATATGTTTTGACCCACATATGCTTTACTACTCTTTATACTTGACACTTATTGGGACAAATGCATCAAACATAAATATGATTATATCAGTTATTTGTTGATATTACACTCAGAAAATATCTATAATTTTTACTAGGTAGATTTTTTTATCCATCACGTAAGATGTATTGAAAAATCTTCCTGAATCCCCCCCCCCCCCTGCAGGACCAGGATCTCCTCTCTCCTGGCATCATTGTCAACAGCGGGCACAGGTCTGCCTCCCCGACCCTGGAGGGCACCCGCCACCTCAGTCGCAGTAACATCGACATCCCTCGTGCCAGCGCGGCTGACGACACCAAGCGGCAGCTGCCACGCAAGGGAAGTGACTCCTCCACCTACGAACCGGACACAATAAAACAGCACCAGGCCTTCCTGACCAGGTGTGTAGAGTGTGAGACGAGAAGAAATCCTGATGTGGGAAATAACCGTAGTCTCCTTTCTTGTGTACTGTACTGTACTGTCAGAATTAGATTTTTACATTACTGTCTGCTTCACTTCTAGCTTACATTCCAGTGTTCTGCGGAGCGACACGGTGTCACGCAGGTCCAGCAGCAGCACCATGCTGGATGGGAGCTCCCAGGGGAAGTTTGACTTTGAAGTTTCTGACTTTTTCATGTTTGGCTCCCCCCTGGGCTTGGTGCTCGCCCTGAGAAAGACTGTCATTCCTACGCTGGATGGTAAGCTCCTTTCAAAGGGTTACTGTGATTGAATCAACGATGGCAAACATTGTCTATGACACATTATGCAGGAGTAAGAAATAGCTGACTACAGAAGGGCAGAAGGTTTAATCCAACGTGGAGATGCAACAATGAGCACGGTGCCCTGCAGAGAACATACCGACAAAGTGTTAGTTTGTCTGGTTATCATTGGCGATATCTAAAGCAGGGTAAGATACCTAAAGATGGTCTGATTTCTCCCCCTAGTGGCTCAGCTGCGGCCTGCCTGTCAACAGGTCTACAACCTGTTCCACCCAGCTGACCCCTCAGCCTCCCGCCTAGAGCCTCTGCTGGAGAGGAAATTTCACCTCATGCCTCCCTTCAACGTTCCCCGCTACCAGCGCTTTCCCCTGGGAGATGGAAACTCCGCCTTGCTTGGTGAGCCCTCCGCACCGATGAGGAATACAGGACTCAGTATTTTTATTTCAGTAATATCCTGTCATGAATTTCCAGTTAATTAATGCAGTTCAGGCTTCACATGGGAGAAGCAAACGCATAAGTCCCTTTCATGCAAGGGCTGTTTAATTTAAGATCAGCTGACATGTCAGGAACTGCAACATATGCCGTAAAGATATACCGTAATTTAACACACACACACACCGTAACATTTATTCAAAGAACAAATAAACTTGTTTATACTTATTGTTCTTTAACATCTTTTGCAAAGCGGCTTATTCATTTAAATGTGGTCATAGTGCTGCTGGATAGTCCTGTTTATTGTGGAGCAACGCTTCTCCCTACCCTCTTTATACAAATATCTGTCTAATGATTGGCCATAGTAATTGTTAAGGTAAATAACAAATAGTTAGAGGTAAAAAGAAATTCCTTCCACCATTGAACCATTAGAAATGAATATCCAGTCTGCATCACATGAAAGGGGAAAAGGTTTTCTGTACAGACAAATTCAATATCATTTTTGAGTTAAGTATGTTCAAACAGTTCTATTAAATTAGCAGTTATCAGAGCATATGTAATCTTCCCCGTAGTGTAATATGACCATGAGAGTTGCGTATTAAAAGAAATCGGCGTGACTACGGGCTTGACTCTGCTTTCTTGTCTCTCGCTCAGTTGTTCTTGCCTCATATGTTCTTGTGTTTTCCTTCTGTCTTCTTTCCCTCTTCCTCCCTCGGCCTCCTGTCCCCTTATCTGCGTACGTGGCTCTCTGCCTCCGAATCACCCCCTGACCTCTGTCCCTTCTGTCCCTCCACCTCCCTCTGTAGTGGAGACAGTACAGAGCAACGCTCAGCTGCTGCTTGACAGCGGGCCTCCTCTTTCCCTCCGCTGTCAGGAGACCATCAGCGAGACCTGCATCCCCGTGCCGGTGCTAAACTGGCAGGAGGGCTGCCTCAAGGCCACACCCGCCACTATGGAGTGTGTGTAGTCTCTCCCATTCACCCACGTCTGTCCTCACCCGCATCCACTGGGTCTCTTTTGTCTGTGTGTTCCAACCTTCTTGCTGTCACGCCCAAGATGCTCAGATTTATGACTATCGGCAGTATTCCCATCTCGGTTGTTTCTGCGGTCACGTTCCCGATAAATCAAATAGCGTTAATATATTGCTGAACCTTTCCTTGCAACAAGGTTTCATCTAGATTAGTTTGTCAAAGCTAATCAGTAGTTTATTTTGCTGGTCAAATTCTCTAAACTGTGAAACCCTATATCTCTCTAGTGTTCCTAGTCAGACAAAATACGTACAACTTGTCATGGAAATACTGTTGAAAGTGTAATAAGCATCTCTTATGGCGTTATATTCAGTTGTTTCCATCTGAAATTCCCGTCACCTCTCAATGTTTTGAAGCACTTGTGTTTGTGCCGTGTTGTTTCCGTCTGTCTGCATCACTCCTGTACAATTAATTATTAATAATTAGACATTTTAATGTTCAATTGTGCTGTTTGTGGTGTTGCGTTTTTTATGGTGTACTGTACGTGGATCTCTACCTATGAATCACGAATACACGGTTCTTAAGTTTCTTGTTTCTTGCTAATGGTCAGAGGTCATCTGATTTATAACATCTCCAAACCTGTTTGTCTACAAAGAATAAGACTTGACGTTAGCTATTAGATCAAAAGCACCTTCATGAGAGAACCCCCCCCCCCTCCCTCATCATGTCAGTTCTCCTTACCTGTGTCTCTGTCTAATGGGATCTCCTTGTTTCGACTCAATAGCGGATGTTGTTCAGTCTCATGGTGGTGTCTTCATGGACAGTTCGTACCCCTCATCCCCCATAACGGGCCCCCTATCCCGGGGCCAGCGGAGGGCCAGTGAGGTCAGCATTGCCAGCCAGGTCTCAGGAATGGCAGACAGTTACGCTACCAGCAACGTAGCCAACAGTAAGTGCTCTCAATACCAACAAGCCTGTCTCCTTCTCTTTCTTCCACTCACACAAACCGTTGTGTAGTTACTCCCCCTCTCTCTCTCTCTCCCTTCTCTCCCTCAACCCCATTGCTCTGACTCTACACACACCCTGCACTCCAGCCGCAGCAGTCTAGTCAGCCGGACGAATATATTTTATTTACTGTCCTCCACTTTGTTCATAGTACCACTGTGAGCGAGAAAAGTCCTGAAGAAGAGGAAGATTAGAGCCGCTTTTCACCGTCTGTCTTACTTATTCACTGTCTAAATGTAAATGCAATGAACGAGTGCTGCATTTATCTAATGTGGACAACTGGGTCCCTCAGCCATTCCTACATTGTCCACTACTTTAGTCCAGTGTTAGCGGAGATCTCCAGTATTCTGTTGTGTTTTTTTATGTAATTGTCCACCAATGTCCTCCCGTTCCTCACAGTTTCACGTTGTTACCAGAGCATGTATTTGTACCTCACATCAAGGTTCTGCACTCTGCTGTTTTAGCTCCTGTAGTAAAACTGTGTAGATCCAGATAAACTAATTACACCAGATTTTTGGTCACGCAATACCAGAGCACCAGAAGACTCTCAACTTCACCCATGTGCTACTGCCTTCCCTGTGACTGTACCAACAATCATCTTTTACCTTTTTCATCCACAGTTATTTTTAAGGCAGGAAACCTGATGATTCCCGACATCACTCTCCAAACTGTTTTATCTCTTGTAGAAACGATGTAGCGTTGTTTTATCTAAACCCGCTCTGATTATCATGACGTGACATTATTGCAGTTTTTGCTCTTATCAACATCGATTCATTTTTCATTAGCTTTCTTTGTCTTTGTTTTCTCCCTGTAGTTAAAACATGCCAAATTCGACAATCCAAAAGGTTTGGCCTTTTGTCCCAACTCGCTCTGTCATCGCAAAACAAATTCTTCCTCAAAAGTCCTCCTAAGTCCCGTAAGAACCCGACTGAAGGATCTCCTCATGCAGATCTGAACGGTGCGGCTAGTGAAGGTTCAAGTCCCACTGGCCAGTACGAGAACTGCCTGTCAGCAGGGCTGGACTTTGCTATTTGTGATCTGGTCTCACTGGACTCCCAGGCTGAAGTGGACCAAGGTATTTGTCTAAGGGAAGGGACGTCTGAGGCTGCAGTTCTTTTCTATTCACTGTCAAGCCAAAAAGTCGACGCTGCTCTTTCAGAAAGCCTTTTTTCTCCCCTGGTATTCTCTCAACGTTTTACTCATAAGGATTTAAGCCAATTGTTTCTTTCACGTTCACACTAACTACAAACTTCGGGTTGCTCTCTTCCTTCACCTGGATATCCGGTCAAATACAACTTCTTTCAGCTGAAAGCTGCTGGGATCTGTGATGATGCGGTTCATAATCAAAATGATCTTTTGCTCTTGCTTCAGGGCTGTGGCACCTTTTGCGTGGCATCGCACAGCTCTCACTGAATCCTACAGTTTCACCTTACATGTCTGCACCCTATTCACTCCGTTCCCATCGCAGTTGCAGCACGTTGGTGGGGCACAAAGCGGCTGGACTTTGCCCTGTACTGCCCCGATGCTCTTACCGCTTTCCCCACCGTGGCCTTACCCCACCTCTTCCACGCGTCATACTGGGAGTCCACTGATGTTGTGTCTTTTCTCCTGAGACAGGTGAGCCAACATCCGCACACCGGCCGCTCTTTATGGCCTGTTAGCAAGTGACCAGCAGGTCCTCTTACTGATATGCTGAGGATAGGTCATTGAAATGTGTCCTGCAGGTCATGAGGCATGAAAACTCTAGTATCCTGGAGCTGGATGGAAAAGAGGTGACTGAATTCACCCCCTCAAAACCGCGAGAGAAGTGGCTCCGCAAAAGGACTCATGTGAAGATCAGGGTAAGAACCCCGTGGACAAAAGTCAACGTCCGTTTCTCTCATCCACCACATCGCTCACGAGACTATCAATCAATACTTTTTCTTTCACTCCTTTGACAGAACGTGACTGCGAATCACCGCGTAAATGACGCGGTGTTCACGGAGGACTCCCAGCAGGTGGTGACAGGCCGCTTCATGTACGGCCCTCTGGACATGGTCACCTTGGCCGGGGAGAAGGTGACCTCTCGTTTGTCGGCACAGCAGTACACATTAGTCCTTTCTGTAACATCCGTGTAGACTGTGCTCATGGTTTTGTAATCTTGTGCAGGTCGACCTCCACATCATGACCCAGCCTCCATCAGGAGAGTGGGTGTACTTCAACACAGAAGTGAGCAACAGCAGTGGGCGCGTGTCTTTTGTCGTTCCAGAGGACAAGCGTCTGGGCATCGGAGTCTACCCTGTCAAAATGGTTGTCAGGTGAGATTACTACTTACATGCACAGAAGCAGGACCATGAAACCACAAAGCCAAACAACCTTTTTGTGTCCAACGTGTGGGGTTGAACTGAAATTCTATTAGTTCCCCAACAGTGATGCCATGTCACCAAGTATGGTTGATGTTGAGTGTTTTGCTGAGTTTTGTTGCTGAAGGAGGGAAATGTCCCTTTTTGATTACTCCCCGTTGTTCTTTTCATTCCTCAGAGGCGACCACACGTTTGCAGACAGCTACCTGACAGTTATTCCTCGTGGCACAGAGTTTGTGGTGTTCAGCATCGACGGGTCATTTGCTGCCAGCGTGTCCATCATGGGCAGCGATCCCAAAGTGCGGGCGGGAGCCGTGGATGTCGTCAGGTACCCAGCCGCTCTTCATCTACCCCTGTTTTCTCTGGAGTATGACGCTTTGTTTATTTACCCTTTGGATTCTGCTCTCCTGTTCCTCCTCGTCGCAGGCACTGGCAGGATTTAGGCTATTTGATCATCTATGCTACAGGACGACCAGACATGCAGAAGCAGCGGGTAGTGGCCTGGTTGTCTCAGCACAACTTCCCTCATGGCATCGTCTCCTTCTGTGACGGCCTGGTCCACGACCCGCTCAGGCACAAGGCCAACTTCCTCAAGTCCCTGACAGAGGTCAGACTGGGAGCAAGGGAGGGTTGATGGGGGGTCGGAATCTCTTTAGAGAGGAAAAGATCAATGCTTATATGGTATTGCTGTGAGATAAATAACTTGTTCATCTGATTACAGCTTCACTTGAAGATTTTTGCTGGCTACGGATCAACCAAAGACATCTCAGTCTACACCTCCATTGGCCTCTCTCCCTCCCATATATACATCGTAGGTAGACCATCCAAGAAGTTGCAGCAACAGTGCCAGGTACCACTTGATTATTTTAAGCATATTTAAGGAATATTACATTAACTTATTTTAAGGATACCCAAGTAAATACCTAAACCTGAATGAAAATGATTAAACATTTGACACCGTTAAGGTCGAATTCTGCCACTTTTAGAACCAAGTTATGAGTAATAATGTAAGTAAGTAATGTCTCCTCCTCACAGTTCATCACAGAGGGATATGCGGCCCATTTGTCCCAGCTGGAGTACAGCCACCGCTCCCGACCCGCCAAGTCCAGCAGTGCACGCATGGTCCTGCGTAAAGGCAGCTTCGGCGTGGGTGCCAACAGTGACTTCCTAAGGAAGAGGAACCACCTGCTGCGCACCATCTCCTCCCAACCGGCCCCCAGCTCCCCGACGGGCAGCACTCACAACAGACCGGAGCGCACACAGAGCCAATCGGACGGCGAGCGGCTGGAGCACGCGAGTGGCTACGGCCAGGGAGCCGCGCAGCGCAGCATGAGCATCACGGCCAGCTGCTGGGGCCGGAGCAGCAGCACCAAGCTGGATCCGGGCATCCTCAGCCCCAAATGAGACTAGCGAAACGTCCGTACCTCCAGGAGAGTGACTGGAAAATACAAAGCTGAGGAAGAGACCCGTGAGAAAGAGAAATGCAAAGATTGAAACGGTGTCCTGCTGCCAGATGGGTAAATACGACAATGACACAATAGGTGCTACAAGCTAATGCCAGTCGCACTCGACGTAGAGGTTTATGAACTGAGGCTATGGCTCTATTTATTATACAAACGCACACGTAACTCAACAGGCATTTCAATGGGCATCTTCCTTAGACTGAAAACTTGCCCACAAATAGATACAGAGCTTAAACCGTCGAGCTCCAGACTGTTTCTACTCTTTAATACGTATTTATCAGTCCGGAATACAGCAGGCTTTTAGATCTAGGATGGTTACACATGCAAGCACCCCGACGCTGTACACAAACAACACAAAGTGGTTACAGACAGCCTGTATCAGGTCCAGGTTTTGATACTGCTCTGTAACAGACTACTGCCACGGCAAGCACAGCAATTACTAAAGGGATCAGCTTTGACTATAATCATTTTAAGGTTCCATCTTTCATAGTAAGATTTGTTCTCTTCTGGGAGCAGAGCTGAAGAATCGGGTAGAACCCGATTGGATGTGTTACTTTTCCCAGTGTGACCAAACAGACACCGATTAGTTAGAAGAGACGATTATGTTGATTGTTTATCAGCATTAAAAAACAATGTTTTTTGTGTAGGCTAAACATTAATTAGATCTATTACTTGTTTCATTATAGGAATAAAAATGTTAACAGATGTCTAACCAAACCACATTCCAGTTCCACTTATTTTCTAGTTGACCCTCGGATATCCCACGAAGCAAACGCAGGAATTACCCTTCAACTATGGTTGCAACTTGGTATTTTTTAGCATTTGACTTTATCGCACCGCAGCGCGCTGCCGACCCCCCTGAATCAGTGGTGTGGAACTCAGCAGTCAGGGAAACTCCTGCTACTGTACGGAAAATGTGCCAAAGTAAACAGTATAGAAGGAAATGCTGTATGTGAACAGAGAGGAAGTGGTTAAAGTCTCCTGTGTAAAAAGATGGATTAGACTGTAAGTATCTAGTTGACCGGCTTCACGAGGCTTGTATATAATTGTTATATGACAGTGCAGATCTGGTATCTGGTCCACTGAAGACCACTTTCAAGTGTCTTCTTTTCTCCGGGGGTAAACACCACCTCATTCAGGACACACTTTAATGATTGATGATGATAACTATTCTTATTTAAGATCATAGATATTTTAAAATGTATTAATTTGTGAACAAAGTGTGTTTTAAGATTACTTAAGCGATGTTGGTTTTAATTTTTTCTTTAAACTTCAGTTGCATCAGTCGTAACTCCGAGAGGTCTTAGTATTGTGTTTTTATTGTTATCTTACAGATCGCCAGAATTGTATCAACAGAACTCCTATCTTGTGTCATATATTGTAGGTTTACTATCTATTTTTGAAATTTGGGATATAGCTTCTCACTGGTTATCCCTAAGCTGTAAATGAGGCGTTGAATGTGCTCATAGATAATCTTCCTTCAGTTAAGATGTCCTTTCTCTGTTCTACTGCGCCTCTAAGGGAAGAAACATCTCAACGATGTACAAAATGCTGTCAGAAGTAGGAACATAAAGCTCAGACCTACTTAAAGCTGTTCACCATTGACTGTGGAAATGGCTGCAGGTGTGTGGCTCTCCAATAGGCATGTAGAGACATGACTGCAATGGACCACTATGGGCTCAGATGAAAGGGAAATGTGCAATATTACTCAACCGCACCACAAGATCAAACTGCTGAGGAAATGTAACAGTGCATTGACAATCAGTTCAACAGGCACATATTCTACAGGCGGGAAACAGAAGACATCTTGGCACTCAACAAAAGCACAGGAAAACATGCAACAATTTAATAGCCCATCTTTAAAAAGTAGAGATTTCTCACTGACCTGACTGATGAACTGGTGCACACGTCAGTTTATTGTGTACACCGATCTGAAGGAGAGTTGCAGCACTGCTTCATGAAGCGTGTACTTTATTGGAGAGGATCCACTCACTGGTGATTCTGGAGGCTGTAGTTTGTGATGCTGTTGAATTGTATTGTGTTATATTGAATAGTGTTTCTAATATTTTGTCCAGGCATTTTATATCAATGAGAGGAGACTTCTGGATAACAGAGTGCATCCTAATCTTAAAGGGCCTATAACTTGTTTCAAAGTGTACATCAATCTCTGCATGTGGATCATTTTAGAGACGTGACTTGAAGCCTTATAAATGATACTGTTTTGGAGGTTGTTGAGCAAAAAATGGTTTGTAAATCAATCGCAATTGGAAAAAGTAAAGGCAGTGCTGTAAAACACGCACTCATCTAAAGTCGCCAACCTTCCTGAGATCGGAAATGCCTGGATATTGAAATCCCTAAAAATGTAAAGAAGCGCTGCGGTTATCTGTGAAGTTTGGATACCTCTGGGCAGACAGTCGCTACGATTCTGCTACTGACGCGCATTTTACCAGAGGCCTTACATCTCCCCTTTTCTGCCTTACATCACCATTGTGACGCCTAAAACAAAGCTGCTCACAAACAAATATCCTCCATGGAAACGACAAGAATTAGATAAGGCCGATATTTGCTTGAAAGGCTTCGGCCGGTTTTCTTTGTAAAGGAAATGGACACCTGTTTGAAATATTTCACCCACATTAGGCAAACCGTTGCCGCCTCAAGCTCTGTCCACGGGGTTGTTAAAATGCCTCCGCTGATACATCAACAGGCTTTGTACATAAATGTATATGCAACATACCTTGGTAAATATTTCTCCTTGTACAGGGTGTGTATATTGTAGCTTTTGGATAACTTCATTTTATTCATTCCCTTGTGTTTTTATGTACAGTGTATAAAGAACATATAAAGAACAACCAAGTCCGTTGGGCCTTTTTTCACATTGAAATCATGCAACAAGGGTCAGATAGCAAATCACCACAGAGAGCATCGTTTATAAAAAAACATAGGACAATCCTTTGCAGTTGACAAAAACGGTTTATTATTTAGGAATCAGTTTCCCCAAATGTAGATTTGTTCAGCGAGCCAACGAGAAAATAAATGTGAGACATGAAGGTGAGTAGACATCTACATGTGGGTGATTTGACAGCGTTGTAAAGTCCATTTACAAACAGTATGTTTCACATCATCTGAGAAGCACATACAGAAAACTGAAATACTTAAAAAATACAATTTAAAGTCCTTTTGGACATTGTCCTTGCGTTGCTTCAGCACAGATCAGTAGTCAAAATAAATTCACTCTAACTGCAGCATAGATTTAATTAAGGCAAATCAGTAACATACCGTCTGTCACCTGAATCAAACCTCAGTGAACATCAAGAGAGCATCTACCTTCTCTAACGACGGGCGATCGTTGTATTATGATTTAACGTTCATCTCATTGTAGCTGCACTCCAGGAGTAGATCTCATCTTCTACCTGTTCACTCCTAGTTTCCTCTGGAACTCTTTCCCGTCTCCCTTGGTGGCCTGCTGTGGGGTGAATGGAGGTTCACGGTTAGGTACGAAGGAAGTCTTGGTTCATTTCCCGCGTTTAGAATTGACACCTACTGTACCTTGTTGATGTCTTTGTGTTTTTCTCGGCTGACGATCTCCTCGATGATCTCTCCTTCTCCTCTCACCAATCTGGAGAAAAAATAATAATACAAAATAAAAACACGAGGTGTAAACAAACAAAAGAACATTTGTTTACACCTGTTAGTTGACTTACCTGGTGCGCCCCGTTTCTGGGCACACCACCCTGCGGATCACGCTCTGTCTGGCCTCGTACTCCTCTTTGGTGATGGGCCTCTTGGTGGCGAGTCGGGCCTTCTGCTCATCCGTCATCACTACAGAGGAATTGGAATACGCGACACGTGATGGTTGTTCAATAGTCGTAACACGTAACATGTGAGAAAAATGGCATTTGTCAGCGGACGGAGACGTTGATTCAGGCTATAAAACACGGGAGGGACGAGATAATCTACTCAAAGACAGAGTGAAGTAAGTTAATGTCGCACCAGGCCCGAGCTCCACGGCCCCCTCGTCACTCTGCCACACCTCCAGGTAAGATGGAGGCTTCTCTACTGGAGGACTGGGCGGCAGCAGCACCACCTCTGCTTTCTTCTTCTCCTCCTTCTTCTTCAGCTTCTCTTTCTTCTTTTTCTCCCTTTTCTCCTTTTTCTTCTGTTTCTTCAGCTTCGCCTTCATCTTCTTCAACTTCTTTTTCTTGGCTTTACTTTTCTTCTTCTTGGTCTTTTCGTCACTGGTCGAAGAAGAAGACGAGGAGGAAGTTGACGATGAAGAAGATGAGCTTCTTCGTCGCTTCTTTCTTTGTGTTTTCACATCTGAGAGGGAAGAGAAGAGGAAGGTCAGAGTTTTGTTATAACACAACTTTTGATGCTGTCAAAGCTTCCGACTAGTTTTTTAAAGTCCCAACCTTGACTTTTGTTGGGTGTTTTCTTTGACGATCTGCTTCGACTCCTGCTGCTGGATGAGGAAGACGATGAAGAGGAAGAAGAAGAAGAGGATCTCCTTCGTTTTTTCTTCTCGAGTTTCTTCTCTCTGCCACCTCGCTCGATTGATCTTCTGCGATCCATCACCAAGACAACAAAGCCACCATGAACCCACGCGACGAACGGGGTCGACGATCAGAACGAGTAGAAGGCGGCTCTAGTTTACGGAAGTAAGTGCGTCTTTAATCGTCTTCCTGGCGGAACTGTAGAAATGCATTTCGAAGGTTCCTACGTCGGCTCAACACATGAGGTAGTTCGAAAATGGGGAACTACCATAAACAGTCTATGGTCACCACACATGTTTAAGTACTAATAACCTACACAGCTATACGCCAACTCTATAAATGTAAGTAGATAACAATATTTGAAATTAAAAGTAAAATAAGCAAAGTTTGTGCTTTGAAAAAAGAAATCCATTTTTTGAATGTAGCTTGCATGATAATTACTTTGTCCACTATAAGAAGGAGAGCAATATTCCTGCAAAATCAGTATCATATGAATATGTCTCTGGCTCGACTGCTATTAATACTGTAATTTAGGGAATCACTCCAAGTGGAGCAGGTTGATCCTTAGTCTCACGTGCCAAGATCCAAAGATAACCCTTCAAACCACACCACATTTTTCCCTTTAAGCCTGTGATACCTCCCATTGAACCTAAATAGAAACAAGGATAAATAGCACAAGAGCTCAGCTCAACTTTTCACAAGGTTTAACGAGGTTGCTATTAAAAGCTACCGTGTCTCATTAGATGAAAGAATTTGAGAAAAGGTTAAAGCATATCCGATATTTATCTCCCTAGTATCTGGACCCCGCTAACACGTCACCTGAAGATGGGTGTTAGCAGAAGAGTGCTTTAGTATAGAAAATAATTGGTAAAGGATTATCTAATCAGTAGAGCCCGATGAGACATTGGTGATAGTAATTATGGCTTCAGAACGCCAAATACGGAAAGTTAGATAAAGAGGTTTGGTTATTCAATACTGGGACTAAGTGGTATTTCTTTTAACAATAGTGCTTGGAGTCTTATGTTTAGAACGGGTGCATAGATTTGAATCAATACTGTAGGAGTGTAACAGTACAAAATTCCAGTGAGTTTTATAATGTAGACCAATGTAGAGTTTTATAATGTAGGCACAGAAAGCATCAATGTGAGAACATATTTGCAATATTTATTTCAAAGTTTTTACAAAGGCAATTGTGAATCTTTAAAGCTTATATATTGACAAACATTTGTTCCTGATGGTGTAAGCCCTTTTCACTCTTGGTACCCTCGGCTAAACTAAAAGAAAGAAGCCACACAGAACGGCCTCAGATGCTTTGTTTAAACCGCTTACCAGCTCAGAGATGAATGCTGAAAAACGTCCCGGTCCACGCTTCAATAGTATGCCAAAGAAGCAATAAATAAAATAGTTTCTTGAGAGAAATACATTGCATCATAAATACTGAAACATAAAAGTCGCAGCTGCAGCTTGAATGTAACAGTCTAAAACTTGAAGTTGGGAAAGTTCAAGTAGCAAGAGAGTCAAAAAGCGATCATCTTTCCGGTCCATGTGCAAGGAGAGCTCATCCGGTTGCTCCAAGTAACAAATGCAAAGGCGGCGGCGTTGTTGTTGTTGTTGTTGTTGTTGTTTGAGGGGGTGGAATGTGGCGCTTTTTTCCAGCACATTAGGACACAGCCGCCATGCGGATCCTCTCTTGGGGATATAGAAGAACGTTCTTCGCCGCTTTGATTGTGTTCTTCATGAGCATTGCCACGGTCATGGGTCCCACGCCTCCGGGTACGGGGGTGATGAAGCCCGCCTTCTGCCGGACGCCTGAATAAAGACATAAGAAAAGGGGAGTTACAGAACACCAGGACGCTGAGCAGTGACCCTTTGCAGAAATACGATCACGCTTTCCCCTCCAGCTTTACCTTCGAAGTCCACATCTCCGACCAGCCGGCTTTTCCCGGTGACGGGGTCTTGCACTCTGTTTATTCCAACGTCAATCACTGCGGCTCCCTCTTTAATCATGTCGGCGGTAATGAGGTTCGGGATCCCTGTTGGGTCAGCAATCAATTGTGTCACAATTGCAAAACCAACGTCCTGAAGAAATTTAAAGAATTCACTTATCGTCAGTGTAACGAACCTGCTGCAGCCACAATAATATCAGCGATCTTTGTGTGTTGTCGAAGTTGCTCCTTGGGAGTGTAGCGGTGAGAAATGGTGACCGTGGCATCGCCTGCAGCAGGGGTAACATTTCGGATTGGTACCGTACATTTGAAGCCGCCATCTTTAAACGCACAGATAAGACGCACGTGAACGGCAACCAACCTCCGGGCCTCTCGTGCCGGCCGTCCGTATGCAGCAACATGGCGATGGGCATGCCCACGTTCTTGGAGCGTCCCGCAACCACAACATTCTTCCCCATAGTGGGAATCCCTGCAGGACGGGGAACCAAATGTTCAGTTTCGGATTGTTTGCACACTGCGGCGTTTCAACCTCAAGACAAAGAGCGATCGTTCCCTCCGTTACCTGTGCGAGTGATCATTTCCCAGACTCCCCAGGGGGTGGCGGGGAGCATGGTGGACTGGTCCAGGCACATGCGACCCACGTTCACCACGTGGAAGCCGTCCACGTCCTTGGTCGGGGACACGGCGTTGCAGATGGCGCGCTCGTCGATGTGATCTGTCGGGAGAACAAAGACGAGCTACATTGAGGACAGATGGAGCTGTGGGGCTTTGTTCAAGGAAACCAACGAGCATCCATTAAGTCTCATCTCTTTAGAGCTCAGACGCGCGCTGACGACAAATAATGACGACGCCACTGTACGTCCTGCCTGATAACAACAACAACAACACACGGAGTCACAATACTCTCATTCTATTTCGTCCAACCGTCCCACTGTACCTGGCAGAGGCAGCTGGACCAGCAGGCCGTCCACACGATGGTCCGTGTTCAGTTTGTAGATCAGGTCCAACAACTCCTCCTCACTGATGGCTGAATGTTTGAGAATCGTCTCGCTAGAGATTCCTGGGGGAGGGGCAAGTGAGAAAGCCACTTTAAAAAAAAAAGGAGCCATTTGTTCTTTCATTGTAGCAAAGTGGGGACTGCACGTCCTGATCAAGACAGTTTGTTTTTTTCCTCACCGACATCAGCTGCAGCTCGTGTCTTGTTCAGGACGTAGGAGTGACTGGCTGGGTTTTCTCCCACCAGAACCACACTCAGGTGGGGTCTCCGGTGGCCGGCTGAAACCCATTTCTCCACGTCAGCCCGGGCCTCCTCTCGAATCTGCCGGGCTAGTTTCTTTCCCGAGATGATCACCGCCTCCTGTCTGAGAGTTGGGCCGAAAAAAAAAGACTTGAGTCAGAGGACGGATAGTTTGTACGGCAATTAGGCTTAAAGTCTAATACTGCAGCTATTGTGTTTGTTAACCGTTTGTTTAGTACACTTTGCGTACATAGTGTAGCTAAAAAGCTGAGTCACAAAACAATACAACAAAACCAAGACACTGAACATTCATTCAACTCTTACATCTGAATCATTTCTACGGTTAAAAAAAAAGTAGCCACTGGACTTGATCTCCTTAACTTCCATTAAACAGACACCAGAAACCTGTAATGAATATCAAGCACGCAGTCGGGGGTAAGCACAAATCCTCGTCTCTAAAGTTAGACACGGTCCGTCTCCACTGGACAGAGTCTCAGCACCATGTTAGATTCCAGCAAAGCAAAGGGACGACTTTTCAAACCGATGCATAATTCATTGTACTGGTGCACAAACTGGGTTGACCTGTCAAACCAAAAAAGCACCAAACCGGTTGCATAACAAACTACAAAAGCAGTGGCTAACAACCACAGAGTAATGAGCCATCAACAGTTACGTAACCATCTTTTTATTCAGCCAAAACCAATGAAACCTCCCAGGAAAGAGTCACCACTTCGGGGGCAAAATAGGTGACACCGAGGAGCCGAGGAGGACACCAGGTCATTACTCAGGAGGACACATGTGGAGACCACTGGGCTTTTAACTGCTCCTTAGCTCCATACAAACTAACACAAAGGTCTACTGAGCAGAAAAGGCCTCTATTCACATCTACACAGCCGTGTTAGATCCCCAATAGAGGAGAGTTGGCCGCTTTGTTTCTTCCTTTTAATACCGTCCCATTTAATCTGATTAGTATTCTTCTGCGTGTCAACTTACTTGTTGACGTGTGAAATTCAACAGTGTTTAATCGGTGCCTCTGAAAGCGGGTCGAGCCTCTGTACGTAGAAACAAGTCATGCGCGACTAGTTTTAAATAAATCACCGCGTGCCTTTTTGAGATTGAGATCATGTGCAAGGGAGCACGCGGGGTTTGGAGTTTCTGAAAAAGGCGTGTGTGCAACATTAAGTCATTACACGTCCACCTCAGTCACTGAGGACTGAAAATCCAAAAGTGCGCATCCGTTCTGCTGACGATCGCACGTCGTCCAGAAGCAGCGTGAATGTGAATGTGCATCCACAACGACCAGGCTCTCCAGCTGAAAGTCTGGTCCTCAGCCTCCAGGTGCAAACCCGGGGACCGATTTCATCAGCCAGCCGGCCGCTGCAGTGCTACCGGCGTGCCGCCAGGGGCGCCGCGGGACGCGACCACTGCGGACATTTAGTACGATAAAAAAAAAAACGAGCAGGACCCGCATAACACGCGGGATGTTTCAGCCGGGCGAAGGCGACACCGCGGGGGGAGAAGGCGCGTGTAGAAATATAACAATATATTTGGGAAGAATAAAAGGCGGCGGCTGCTGAGGGAAAAGGCGCCGAACCACGTCACGGTTGAGTTGACTGAGCCGAGAGGAGCGTTTGGTCTCACTCACCTCGAGGAGGTGGTGTGCAGTTCACACGCTTGATGGCGGGAGAGTTGGCACATTTTCCTGAGGGTCCTGATGGCTGCCATCGTGAAGCCGGCCGAGAGGAGGAGAAGAGACCGCTTACGTAAATACAGCCGCGGCGAGCCGGGATGACGGAACGGCTTGTGCGGAAGGCGGGGGCCGACGGCGTGCGGCAGATGGGCTTTATAGCCTCGCCCGCCCCCGCCCCGCCCCCCGCACGGTTGCTGCCTGCGTCACTGTAATCTGATGCCACGCCTCTAACGCACTGACGGTACTTTACGTTGCTGGAATGCTGAACCGCCCGGAGCTGCAGGGAGGCGCGAGTTTGTAATGTTTCATTCGGACGTGCTGTTGCAGTGTAGTGGAGGTGAATTACACCATAGTCCACCAGGTGCTGCGTTCAAAATGTAGATGAACGTATAGAAATGTCAAAGCACCGAAAACAAAAGCACTTCATATTTAAGTACTCCTTCTTCGGCAGGCAGAGTGGCCCCTGTCTGTTTATATTGTTAAATATTATTGGATTATTGTTAATGATACATTAACTGGTTTAGATGAAACAATTCTAACAACTTCATATATAGACTTCCGCTGATGAATTGAATCTATTTTACAATACGTTAGCTTATTTATATAGGTTTAAAACACATACTAACAAAGTATGTTATGTATGTATCCTTTCAACATGCAGAATATACACAACCTCTGGTTCAATATTTGTCAGCTAGTCTGATAATTTCATTAAACAAGACTTTACTCAATGCACATTCTATGTGAGAACAGTTTTCTCAAAATTAGTTGCAGAAGCTACATTAGTTTAACGTTATGTCCCAATTAAAAAAAAACAAAGGTTTCCAAGTAAGCAAAACATAATGGACTATTATGTTTTGTATCTATGTATATAGAAAACACGCTCGTTCCACTCAACTATATAAATGAATATGTCTGCACAAACACAAATATATATATATGTACATTTGTACATTTTACACATATATCAGAGGAAATTGTTTTTAGTCTGAAACTATGCTTGATCACTAAATCACTTACCACTAAGCCAATTCCTATATACGGATTTGATTGTAGGAATTACGGAAAAGCGACCCGTCTGCTTTCACCGGCTCCGTCATAAATGGCCGCGGAGCGCTACAGTAGCTCGGTGCGACCGGCAGAGGGCGACAATCTTCCGGCGGGACTCCAGCGGACGGCCGATAGAGGAAGAGACACTGTGGGTGCAGTTCGCGTTAGCCGAGAGGACGTCAACGTTGCTGTTTTTTTGCAGGCGTCGCCGACGAGCGTTTCCTCGCGTGTCCGACCGAACCGCACGACGCTCCGTTTGCTGAGACCCAGACCCAGACCCACGAGCTGCGAGCGAAGCCTCCGCGACCGACTGCTTCGACAAGATGAGCTTCCTGTTGTAAGTGGCGCTAGCGTTAGCCGTCTGCTGCTGCGGAGCTAACGCGTCCACGAAGTTCCGTCAAGGGAAGTAACTGGCGTCAAAGTAAGACGCCGTTACCGAGAACAAGTCGGCGAAATCACTCGCAATCTAACGTCAGTCTTGATTCGCTTTCAAACGGACGACGCATTTTTTACGTAGGCTAATCAGTCGTGAAATTATACGCGAGCTGTATATTTATAATAGATTCTTAATGTTTTTTGTTTCTTTTTTTAACTATTTACGTTCTGACTCGGCTAGCATGATGGGTACTAGCTTCCGGTCGGTTAGCCAACTTAGCTAACATTGTCACTTCATTCTAATACGTCCACAACTAAGACGAGCCGTGTTGTCATTAGTCACCGCTCACACAGTGGACGTCTTAACCTCGTTCGTGAGATCGTTAAACGTCGAGCGACGCGATTTAACTGCCCGTGTCACATTTCCTGTTTGCGGGTGATCGACACCATAACTTGGTCTGAACAACACCGACGTGTGTCACACTTAAAACCAGTCAAACAAGGCGACAGTGGTTTGAATAAAACACTTTATCAGATGCGGCAGCTATTGTCACGAGTATGTAAGGTTGATCACACCCGAATGCCCCAAGAGGAGAATCTACTTCTTCTTTAGCTTGCACACAGCTGCTTAGCCCCCATGTTTTTTTTTTTTTGTATTTTATTTGCAGTGGCAATCGCTCATCCAAGACCTTCAAGCCAAAGAAGAACATCCCAGAGGGCTCCCACCAATACGAGCTGCTGAAACACGCCGAGGCCACGCTGGGCAGCGGGAACCTGCGGCAGGCTGTCATGCTGCCCGAAGGAGAGGATCTCAACGAGTGGATCGCTGTCAACAGTGAGTGGATGAAGGCAACTTCACTTGTTTATAGGGAACACCGCTTGGTCCACAAGCTACTGGTTCTGTACGTGGACGGCCTTTGTAGAGCGGTTGATCCCCACCGAGCGGTACAAGAAAAAAACGTATTGATGAATATAGTCAGTAGATCAAGATTGTTCACAAAGCAGCAGCAGAATTCTTTTGAAACAGAAAAGTCGGTAGATGATAATTTCTAAAGATTCAGAACCGTCTACATTGTATAGAAATCCCAAATAAAACCTCTGAACTTAAAGACAAATGACACCAGTTAGTTTTATCATTGTCGTGAGCATGATCATACAGAGAGGAAAAAGATGATGCAATGAACCTCTTTCTTTCAGCGGTGGATTTCTTCAACCAGATCAATATGCTATACGGCACCATCACTGAATTCTGCACCGAGATCAGCTGCTCTGTGATGTCTGCTGGACCCAGGTAACCGCAAACAGTGTCCATTTGATGCATGCTACTTCTCGGAGTACAGGGTTCTTCCAAGGTAGCTAGTTTGACATGTCCCTGGTAGTAAAAGCACCGGTGTATATCATGAAGTTAACAATGGTGGATTTGTTTTATGGGTCCTGGTATTGTGCATGCTGGCTCATTGAGACGTTCACATAGAATCCCAAACTATTTAGTGCCTAATGCGTTGCACGTACACAGAATTTGGCTTGGTGGTTGGTGCAACAGTAAAAACAAAGTGGGTGGGGAAACGGGTGGGGTATAAGGTCAGGTGTCCTCTTCAACTCTCACTCAGTTATTGAGAGAAAACAAGGAGCTAAACCAGCTTGCAATGTGCGTGTATACTAGGACACACAAATCTTTGGGGCATAACAAAACATGAATTACAATACAATTCAATGATGGCAGATTCTTGGCTATAGTTATTTATTTATTTGCTAGATTGAGATCTGCTATGTAAGTATGAACTGAACTTAATATGATAGTCTAAAGAACCCAACCCCGTTTAGATTCGGAATGGCTATGATGTTTATAGTAAAAAGGCATTGAAATGCATCATCTGCATCTCACAGGAGGGAAACTGGAATTCTACTTTGCATGTGGTCCTTGTCGGACTGCTTGGCTCAAACTTAGATTTGGCACTTCCTCTATTCTTTCACTGGCCAATACTGTCTGTGTTCGGTCTCTAATCAGAAGGAAGAGGCCGCTGCTCACTTCCTGTTGACTCCCCCATTAGGAGTTTAATTTTAGATACTTTTGCATTTCCCCCTCCTGTTTTTAAACCTGATCTAAAAACAAATATGTGATGTCCTGACCAAGTCAGAGTTTATTCGGTCAGGCTTTCTGATGTCTCATGTGTGACTAAATGATACAAGAGCTGCCAATTCATTTTGATGCTTCTCTGTAGATACGAGTATCACTGGGCTGATGGCACCAATATTAAGAAGCCCATCAAATGCTCTGCTCCCAAGTACATTGACTACTTGATGACCTGGGTACAGGATCAACTGGACGATGAGACCCTTTTTCCTTCCAAGATTGGTGAGTTTTGATTATAAATAATTGTCATTTTCAGCAGTTTGTAAACAAACTTTCAGCTTAAACGTTTTCTTCACATGGCAAACTGTGTAGGTCTCATAGCCCTTTTAATGCAGCAGGAAAATGATCCTAAACATACAGACAAGGCAACCAGAGGCAACCACAGTGTAATGTGTCATCCTGGCTGTGTGAGCCTGTCAGCTGACTTCACTCCAGCTGATCATGTGCTTCACATTGTGAAGAGCAGAGTCATCGCTCATTTCTCTTACCAGAGCCAGAAAGTCCATTTAAATTATTCCTTTGATTGTGTGGTTTTAGGATTTTTTAAAATATATATTTTTTTTAATATTTTCTAATTCCAAAATCTAAATGGCTATTTAATAATCCTCTATTGTTTTAAAGAGTGTACTATTATTGTATTATACTATAATTATATAAATGGCATAACATTTTCCTAAAATCACATTTTATTGCAGTTATTTTTGGGTCATTACATCATTCACTAACTTTTGTGAGGGTGAGATTTTTCTGCTACTCCATATTCATGCATAAATGTTTTGATTGTAAACGCGGCACATGTTCCTCTTTTGACGTCAGCATATTCCACCACCCTCTGTCCCGCAGGAGTTCCTTTTCCCAAGAACTTCATGTCTGTGGCCAAAACCATCCTGAAACGACTTTTCAGGGTTTACGCTCACATTTACCACCAACATTTTGACTCTGTGATGCAGCTGCAGGAGGAGGCCCACCTCAACACCTCTTTCAAGCACTTCATTTTCTTTGTTCAGGTGAGATTATCCCATTACAATTTAGGATTGATTTACTGCTGTAAAATATTTGAATTACAGTGTATATCTGTGTTTAGATATACACTGTAATCCAAATCGTTTACATGAAAAGACTGCAATGCCATTTTTTCATCAAAGTTGTTCTTGGAATCTGCCTGGTAAAGAATTCGTGACATTTCTGTCATATGGCTCAAGTGTGAATGAACAGTTGCAGATCAAAGCAGCATCAACAACAACAGCTTAATGTAAAAAGTCACGACTTTAACTCAAAACAATTAACTCGACCATTCCCCAAATCATATGATTTTATGGCTGAAAGGGGCTGTATGTCTGCTTATGAAAGGACTCGTGTGTCTGTGGGGTGATTACATTACATTTATCATATTTGAAGTACATTAAGGGTCAAGCAATGCATTGGACCCCTAAATGTGTTTGTCTTACTACCTGTTTTTTTTTATAGGACCACAACTGCAATCAGAGCAGCAAAATAAGTTTTATATCAACTGATGTTTGTTTTTTGTGTCGTTGTAGGAGTTCAACCTTATTGACAGGCGAGAGCTTGCCCCCCTGCAGGACTTGATCGAGAAGCTTGGATCCAAGGACAGATAGACATTTAATCACCATTCCCTTTCTTTTTAACCTTTCATTTTCTCCCCTTGCCTCTTTGACTTCTGCTACCTCTTTAAAATCTGTGCCTTCTTCTTATTTCATAAACGTTTGTACTGTACTTTTCCTTTTTATCCAGTCTGTCTTCTTGTATGCTGTCTTTGAGCCCTTTCTTCCATTTTGCCACTCTAAATCATGGAAAATAGTGTAGTAAGAATATTTTTTCATAGGATTGTAAGAGCAAGGTAATGGATTTTATATTGGATAAGGACATTTGGAAGTTAACGTAAAAACCTGCTTGCCTCCAAAAGTTGGTACACAGTGTTTTAATTGTCTAGACTCTTTTTTAAATTTTTTTATTTTTTAAGTTATCGATTTAGGCAATTTTCTCTTAACTTTTAGCTTTTTGTAATTACAGGGACTGACCAGATATCCTGTCTTTTTTTTTTTTACAATGTTTTTTAGTCTTCATTGGCGAGTTAAGATTGCATGGAAATTAGTGCCGTGACGCTGGCCTGACGATACAAGTGTGTGGAAAGTATTTTCAGTCACAGATTGGTATAAAAAGCACCAGCAGCATAATCACTCTTAGTCAGAAGCTGGTTGTGTATCTGGTTTTCAACATCTGCTAACATGCACAACAGTTACATGTGAAGAGTAGTAAGGGACAATTGTGAGATGCCCATGTTCTTGCCCCACAAAAAAACACCACCAACTGCATTATGGCCATTTTATTTTGGTCATGCAATATTGTGTTTTGCACGTTTTTGGACTATTTTCTATATTGAAATAGTATGATGCAAGTTATGGTGCTTATAGTTATACTTTTAAACCGCTTGAGGGTTGTTCTTCATATCATATATAAATAAAGGAGTTGTATACTAGAAATTATCCTGTCAATAGCCAAAATAGTCTAATGTGTTTTTTGTCATTTCAGTTCATTTTGTAGCGCTGATTTATTTGTGCTACTCTGCATATTTGATCATTCAATGCTGGTACTTTTAAACTTTTTTTTGGGACATATGTCACCCCCTTGATTGTTAAATAGAGCAATAACGAATGCACCTCTGCAGGTTAAGGAGGAGTGTCCATAGCTATATGTAATTTTTCTGCAGATGTCTTTTGGTTTCGGTGCGTGCTTCAGTCTTTTCCTGGGATTACTCCAGCTACAACAGCAGGGCTGTTTGTACTGCCATCCTTTTACAAACTAAAGCAGCGACCTCTGGATGACGTTTCATTCGACAAACTCCAAGCATGAAGAATTGGTCCGTAACCTTCTTCATATTGGACATAAATTCAAATCAGACAATCATGCCTGCACAACCATTGAATGCATCATCTATGTGCTTATCAAAATATTTCACACGGCTGGTTTATTTTATTGATTTGATTGGAAAATTTAACGAGTCCTTTCTTTCAATCTAGCCATCTATTTTTATTATTTTTTTTACCTCACAATTTTGTTATCCAGCTTTTGGCATGGAGTTCAATTTCATTTCATTAAGTATTTGGCTTTACCTTTTCAAAAATGAACAAGGGCTTTGAAAGGAATTGAATGTTTTTATATATATCTCAAATAATGGTCCAATCATTGGGATGTCATTTTGACTGAGGAGGTTGAGGATGTATGTACGGCGTCTGAGCATTTGCTGTAAATAACATCAGTGTTTTATCTGAACGAAACTGTGCCTTACAAAAAGGAATATGTCTGATACAACAGTATTGGTAGATCAAAATTCAATAAACATTGAAAGGACAATGTTGTGTTGTTTTTATTTGTTTGTGCGCGTGCTGTAAAAACTATTTAAATGATCATGGTATCTGCAGATTTTCACTTGTTGCACAATAATAAACTGGACTGTTCGATAGATTCATGTATTATATATAAATGTTGAATGTTCCCCCTGCTGCTGGTAGGAAGGCACAGGGCGACCACAGGCATCACATGTAGACAGGAAGCTGAAACTCAAAGTTATGCAGTCGGAACATCTGCTTGCTGAAATTTAAAAGACGACATCAACGCTTGACACCTTTACCACAGTATTATAAGAAATGCAGTTGATAATATTACATATGACAAATGGAGCATAAGTGTCACCCGAGAAGCTTTTCCAAGCGCACGGTCCCATTCAACCAATCAGAATTGAGGCCCAGAGACACTTGTTAAATTTTCCCTGAGTCAGGACTTACAGCGACCTTCCACCCTGGGCGTTCACTTCCAAACTATATAACATGCGCGCCCCTCACCTTATCAGTGCCACCATCGTGTTGCGTTTAGATTATATTTAATATTAAAGATTGTTTATTTGGGGTTTAGTTTGATCGGGCCGGTGTTAAAGGAGGTGGAATAGATGTGTACGTAGACCGCCTGGAAGGCCTTACGTAGGGCAACACTTACATCGGTTGGCGACAGAGCAAGGAGGAAATAACGATTTGTCTTCCAAGAAACCGTCGAATAGTTATCTCTCGTCTACGGGATTATTTTGGTTGCGTTTTCTACACAGGTGATTCATTGACAAATGGTATCATTGCAACGAGTTTCCCCGTTTTGCTTGGACGTGGCGGCCCATTATCTTCTTTGCTTGGTAGCTGCGTCGGAAAAAGCCTTTGCATCCAACGTTAGTTAGGTTAGCTACATGTATGCTACGTGGTGGTTGCTAAACGGCTATTTACCGTTAAACTACGTAGCTAGCTTAAGGCAGCACGGCTAAGCTAGTCCAACTTTTCCAAAGGGGTTCGCGACGCTTGTAGCTTAACGGTTCGCCGTTACGCCGTTATCTCCTCGTAAATCCAGGCGAGCGATGTTAGCTAACGTTAGCTAACGTTACCTGCCTGGAGACACTGGGAGAGCAGACTGGGAAAGCTGTCAACCAGTCGGACAGTGGGAGCCGTTTGTGCTGTTAGCATTAAGTCCTGATTATTCGTGCGACTCTTTTTAAAGGAGTTCTGTAAGCGGATGTTGGTTAAACTACGTATGAAACAATGTAATCGATTGAACCAATGTTAGTTAATCTCAAATGGTAACGTTATAACGTTAGCTAACGTCACACAAATGCGTACTAACGAGTTGTATACACGCATCTTATGTCACTAAAATGTAATTGTCAATTTCTGCTTTAAAGTGAGCCGAGGTGTTTCGTGTGATTTGTAACGGTGAACTTTTCCCACAGGCTTCGGTTAAGTCATGGCGGATGAAAATACTCAGTTCTGTGGCAATTGGTACGTATTAATACGGTATAATGCACATTAATAGTGATGAGTCAGTTTGATATGGTGGAATTTTTTTTTTCAAAATGTTGCCGTTATAGCAAACACGACATTCCAGAGGCTAATTTCACCACCCATGAGATCCATTGCCGAAGAAACATCGCATTGTGTGATGTTTGCCAGGAGCCAGTGCCCCGTTCAGAGCTGCAGGAGCATAACGAGCAGGAGCACATCCAGGTAACAGACTACTGCAAACCCCATTCCTCCCATAGATGTTTGGTACCAGAACATGGAAGGTGGCCTGGAACCACGTAACGGTGAACGTGGACTTTAGTGATTGTGATTGCCTGTCATTGGGTTTTAAACAAGGGAATTAATGGAAGAAGGAGCAGAAATCATCAGCCACCTCTTATCGTCATTCCATGACACCGGCTTCCAGGAATGCAAAGGAATGAGGAATTCAATTCATTTTTACTCTCATTTCAGATTACATGCAAGTGCGGTTTGAAGATTGAGAAGAATCGTATTGCTGTTCACCAGGTATTTTCAAAGAGCACATCTCTCAGTTCACTGTTTATAACACTAATATTCAGTGATCTTTATTTAATTTTCAAATGATGTTTCTTCTTCGCAACTACTGTTTCTTTCAGAGTTTCGAATGCCTTCAGAGGCTGGTCCCGTGCCAATTCTGTGAACTGGAGATTGTCTTCAGTCAGTCCAAAGAACATGAGGATTATTGCGGCGCACGCACTGAACCCTGCGTGCACTGCAAGTGCAACGTAATGTTGAGGGAACGGGCCGTGCATCCGGGCTTGTGTGGAAGCCTCACGCCACCCCAAGAGCGGAACAACCGTCGGACGAGTCGCAGTCCCGTGGAATCACAGTCTCCAGGGCCGTGGTTTGAAGCTCACTCCATCCATAACCTTCTAAGAGCCCAAGAGAGAAGCCCAAAGAATAATAACGTCAGCGCCGCAGAACAGGCCTTTCCGCGGCCATTTGATCCCAGAGAATATTACACTTCAAGGGGACCTGAAGTCCCAGGAGACTGGAAGAATATTGCTCCGAGCAATACTTTTAGCCAAAGTGAGTTTATCCCTGATCCATTGGAGTTACATTTTGTGTGGGGAAGAAGGTTTTTACCAGGCCTAATTGTTTTATCTGAATGAATAATCATATAGTGGCCAAACACGTAACCAATGAAGCTTTAAAAATACATTTGAAGGTGCTCTTTGGGGTTGTGGTGTAAAAAGGCAAGTATGTATTACCAGAACACATTATGTGTATCCACAAAATGTAACGACATGGTGAATTAATTTATTTCCCCATAACACATATCAAAACAGATTTTGATAAATACTAGTTTGCATTGTTTACCTTGATCTTTCGCCACTGACTTTGAACACATTGGTCTCGCTTTTCCTTCATTTGTAGCTGAATTTACAACTGTTCTCTGCAATAACTACTTTTCTTGTAGTGATGGGGCAGAGTGATTTTCGGAGCAGCGGCGGCAGCAGCAGTAGCAGCAGTGCGTGGCCGCAGAGCGACCTCACCCTGAATGAGGATTCCTCCGGACTGGACTACATGTTGGCTCTCAGCCTGCAGAGTGATGCAGAATCAGTAGCTGAGGGAAACCTGTGGAGTGGAATCTGGGACCACAAGATTGGGAAGACTTCGAACACATCTTTAACCTCTCCACTCCCTCCGCCCAACAACAACTACCCAAACTTTACCACAGGAACGAGCACAGGTGCAGTCCAGGAACACGACCAAGCAGGTAATTTGAAAAAGATTGGAATACTCTTGAGTTTTTCTGTGGTGAGTTGAATGACTTATTGAATTATTTTACAGATACCATGCTTCCTTGTGAGTTTTGTGAAGAACTGTTCCCTGAAGAGGACCTGATTTTGCATCAGGTTAGTGATTTGGTTTGATCCTTTTCGTTAAGCTGTTGATCGCTGTTGAGTCAGCTGAACAACTGGTCATCCCGATGTTGGCTGTAATGAATTTAGACTTTCCCCACTTCCTTTTTTTAAAGGGAAGCGGGGACCGAGGCTCAATAGTTTTTTTTCGTATTGTATTGTCCCCTGGACATCATGACAGTCTAAGCAGCCAACAAGACTGTTGACTCATTTGTGCTGCTCTCCCCTGAATGTATTTCAGTTATGAGTAAATAAAATACAACGAGCAACTTATAGTCAGTTCTAAGCAGCCTAACCAAACCTGCTAAAGCCTAGTTTATGCTTCTGCGTTTTCAGAGCGACGCAAGGAAACGCAGACGCAAGAGCCCCTTGCGTGTCCCTTGGGTCCCCTTTCACACCTTGCGTGCGTCGACCCATTTTTCAGCGCACAAGGCTGCGATTGGTCTGCTAACTACATCCTTTACGGAGTCTCACATTTCCGTTTTCAGAGCCCGATACCGCCATTATTAAAACGAAGAATGTTTACGAGAACGGATAATAAAGTCTATGATAAATAAATAAACAAACCTACAACTTCCACACAAAAAGACGTGACTTTTTAGGTCGTCTTCGACAAAAACACATTACTCCATCTTTTGTTCTGGCGGTGAATTGCTCTGCAACACACGCAAGACTTTTAGAACCATCAGTTGAAGCAAGTGCGTCAACGCAGAAGCATGCGCCAGCCTTAACTCTTATGGAAAATCTTCAACTTCATTTCATCCCCCCCCTTTCAGCTTTAATTTACCTTACTGTTGCACAAACATGCTGCGGCGTATTTTGTTTTGGTACACTTGAAGTCGTTCGTCCTGAAACCTGCCCACATTCTGTCTCACTTCCTATTTAAATCTGCAATGTCAACTCATTGAGAAATAAAACATTGTATGGACAAATGTAATGAATGTAAAAGTCTCAGATCCAGTCCGACATCATGTGGAATACAGACAGTCTCAAACCCTTCCTCCCATTTGCTTCACACGGCTCAGAATGCAGTTACAGCCTTTACCAGTGTGAACAAGAGGCTTTCCTGTCCATCTTGGGATGATTTTCTGAGATTTCAAAGCCTTCTTTTCTCCCCTTTGGTTCAGACTGGATGCAGCCCGGCCTCTGCCTTTGCGTCTTACAGCAAACAGCCCTTGTCTCCCCCAAAAGAGGACCGGATGAGCAGGAATGCTTCAGGGATGATGCACAACATCCCCGACACACTCGCTTCAAACATCCCCACTTTCCCCCGCTCCGTGTCCCCGGCCTCCTACAGCCCTCCAGCCAGTCCTCTAGAGGGCGATGTGGTCATTCCGTGTGAATTCTGTGGCGTCGCTCTGGAGGAGGCTGTCGTCTTTCACCATCAGGTATGTCGGTAATCAAGTCTAATAGCCCTTAAAATATCAGAAGCCGGGTTTAAGTTTTATTTTGTTACCATACAAATCGTTTGTACGTGTTGTACGAATACTTTAAAATGTTACAGTCCTATTTTAATTAGGCATTAGGCATAGTCATGTCTTTAATGCAGTTTTCCACATTATGACCTGAGCAACCAATCTGCAAAATCACTTGTAAATAAATGATCCTGGATGCTGATTATCAAACACAAGAATGGAGTAATAAAGAAATTGACCGATTTGTAATTGTCTAATGGCTAATCCATTGTCTTCTTATATCTAGGACAAATGTGATATGCGTCCTCAGAATGCCCACCCCTTGAATAATCTAACAAAAGCATCCATCAAGAAGCCATTGAGCCCCACCAAAGACACCTTTGGTCAGATGTCTTCTGACTTTCAAAGGAGAGTTAATCCCCAAGGTATCGTATGGAATCTATTTTGAATATTACAAAAAATGTACAAAGCTCTGATGCGCTTGTCACAAAAATATGATGCACCTTCGCAAAGGCGGTTCCCAGCGAATGAAGGTACTCTGTACTTTCTAATGAGCCGGCATATGACCGAGGCAGGGGAGCTAAACCTGAACAACTCGCTGGATCACATGTTTTCTAAACAAGGCTGCCCACAACAAAGAAACCGACTGTTGTCTTCAGATCAGCATGTGTGTCAGATACTCCGCATATGCAAATGTTTGTGCACAAGCACCGAAGAGTTTTTCATGATGGGAAACAGTAGATGTGCAAAGATGGTTTTAATAGGAGGCATTGTTAGTATTAATTAGGGTGTGTATATATATATATATATATATATATATATGTATGTGTGTGTGTGTGTGTGTGTGCTGTTCCACATAAAGTCGAGTTTTCGGAAGTGAACTTTGGATGCGACCGAGAGACACCGCCAGGACTAAACCAAATGGAATGGCAGAGAGGTTACATCGGACTACCAAGTCAGAGGAAGACTTCCAACTGCGATGCTTCTGTGAAGATCAGACCTCAGCAGGGCATGGAAGCAGAGGGAGATCATTCTGCTTTCCGTGAGCCCGAGAGGTCCGGCTCTACGTCTCTAAAGGGGTAAAAGCAATGTGATCAATCATGTTGATGGAGACTTGTTTTTTCATTTCATTGGAATCACTTCAGCTCTACTATGATTTGTGCCTTCTTTGTACGTGTTGTGGGGGATGTTATTATTAATATTGGATTGTGTTTCTCCACCAGAGTGCATCTACCAGAAAATAAAGAGGGCAGAGGGAACAGAAGAAATTCATTAACAAAGGTACACTTTAATAAAAACAAAAACATCTTTTGCAAAGATTTTTGTTTGTACTGTGAAAGTGGCCGTCCCCTCACTACACATTAGACAGACGGGACTCTTTCTTCAATTTGTCCTTGTTTGTAAAGCACTTTGTCATTAGTTTTATACTGTAGGAAGAAAGTGTTTTAACAATAATTTCTCAGAACAACATAAATACACATGGGTTCATCACATATTAATATATTTATATGGGAAATGAAACTGCATTACCTGAGAGTAAATGGACATGCTGCTTCCATAACCTATTAAATACTTGTAATAGTGATCATGTCTCTTAACATTGTAAAGGCTTTCCTCACCAAATCATTTAAGTCTAAAGTCTGAAAGTAGATTTTCCTCTTTATGACCGTTCAATACTTGGTTCCATTTGCAGTTGCCGAAGAAGCAGAATGAAGAGCAGCAGCAGCAGCAGCAGCAGGAGGAGTGAGAGCATGTGGGGAAATAACAAAACCAAATCTCCTAATCGGGTTTCATTTATCTTCTTACACACTTTTGAAAACAAAATGTATACCTATCTGATAAGTGCCTGCGTGAGTATGTTATCTTGCAGTTTATCTTTTAATGAGTTTTACTATTATTATAATCTAAAGTAATTTGGTTTATTAATGCATATTCTGCTTTATTTCAATTTTCTTTTTTTCAAATGTTTGTATGTCTAACATCCAGCCTTGAAAGATAAATTATCAAATTTTATTTGCGCTGAATTTGATTTTTATTATTTTTTATACTGTACAAGTCACAGCTCATTAAGAATATCGGACACGGGACTTTGTCGGTGTGCAGTTGTCTAACTCAATCGTTACCTTGTTAATTCAGCCAAGGACATTTTGTTTTCAGCCCTGTTGGCCAGTTATTTCAGGGTCTTCCAGTGTTCATGTAGGTTTATGAATCTTTATGTAATCTAAAGCACTTTGATAGATTATTTTGTTAAAGAAGGGCTTGAGGAACACATTTGATAAATGTATGCATCTTGGTCCCCAAAAGAAAAAACCCTGTATAACTGAACATTTGTCTTTTTATACTGTTGAACATGTTGTCTTTAATACTCTTCAGTACTTAGATTATTATTATTTTTTAATCATAACTGTAGAACTATACACGTGGTGTCATGATGAGGGGTCTTCTGAAGCAGTGTCTCCTGTCCAATCTCTTTGAAGTAGTATGAAAAATGTTGTGTGCTTCACCTCCGCATAGGTTTTAAGATTGATAAAATGTTTTTTGTGTGTAACATAGGGTCCACTAAAGCAATACATATAAGACCGGGCACCTTGTACCACAGAAGGTTGAGCCCTTTTAACTAAAGACTATGCCCGAGCAGCCCCCTGATTAACATCTGATAATTAAGCTCAACGGAGGAACAAATAATCAGTGAAATGTCCTGCTGTGGTGTTTGGGTTAGGGTGTAGGCTCTCAGCCACATGGCTGACTATTCCAGTTTAAGAACAACTGTCTTGATGCTCTTTGTCTTGTTTGGCTATTAAATGTTTAATGGGGAGGTCCATGGCTCCAGCTTGTGTTCTGTCTGTTTTGTTCTGTCCTACTTTTGTACATTAAGCTCAGCTCAGTTTACCTGTGGTAATAACAAATTGCTCCATAAAGGTAATTGTAGAATATATATATTTTTAAATTCCGTTATGGTGCCCTCCATGAGAAGTGAGAATGAACTCTGAAAACAATGCTTCTATTTTTTTTATGTATTTGCACTTTTTTCAGTGATCCAGCATTTATTTTTCGTGTCATTATAATGACCAAATTTAAAGAAGATTGGAAGAAACCTTAACCAGAAAGCCTTGGTGGCATGTTTCAACCACATTTCGACCTTCATCTATGGAAATAAAAAGCTACTGCGTTTACCTGGTTAATCATTTCCATCTAGTTTTCTCTGACGTTTCCCGGAAAGAATCTGGTATTCATTACAGGGGAATTAAGAGACATTTTCAGACTGTTACTTAGTAGTGGTGATTTTATAAGTTGTGTGTATTTCCAGTGGAATTTCCTTGAAAAAATGCTGTACTACCAAAGGAGATCTGCCAAATTCAAATATTCCAACGGCTTGATGCGTTTCGACCCATTGGACTTCAGTGGCACTAATCACCCTCCATACGGGCACGTTGTTTCACGTCTCCCCCTCGAGCGGCGCACTTTGAGTGCGCACCGGGAGAAGCCGGCGGCGGAGAGGGGCGGGGTTACACCTTTCGGTGGGAATCCTCTTTTCAAAAAAAGCTGCCAACGTCCTCATGAGTGAGACAGAGCGCAGGGCCACTTTCTGCCTTCCGCCACGACCCCCGAGACGAAGAAAGAGGAGCGCGTCAACGAGCGGGACACGGCTCCACTCTCGTTGAGGACATTTGAAGACAAACGTTAATTCAAGCCGACAACCACAACAACAAAAAAATCCCAGCAACGAGTCGCGCAGGTGGAGGACCGCACGCGCACCGACCGCACCGCAGACTCACCGCAGAGACCTTCCGGTTGCACCTGAGCGCGCGGAAGAAAGACGGAAGATGTCCGCGGAGACCTACTCTGCGCTGGACGAGTCCTCTCTGCGAGACCTGGTGAGCAGACCCGCTGCTGCTACCTGAGCCTTCAGGGATGTAACGCATATATATATATATATATATATATGGTATACACTATAATGCTACAATGTCTCGTGCAAAATGCATTTCTTCCTGATTATCGGTCTGCTATTGATTTCACTTATTGGTTATCACAGGCGATAGCAGGTCTGTACACGTGAAAGCGCGTTTTTTGTGTGTGATCACTGACATACTTTTTAGACCTTTTGATTTGGTCAGAGAATGAATAAATGATCACCTTGGGTTTAGGATATTCTGATTGTTTTCTGGTTATTTATCACACACATGTTGCGATTCATAAAAGCACAATAATGAAAACGGTAGTTTGGTGCAGATCTAATTAAGTGCTTCTGACTGTAAGTTGAGTGGTGAATTTTGGTGTGTGAACGCTTGACCAAAAATTATGATAATTACTCCACCATTGTAAGACTTTAAAAAAAATTCCAAATCCCTCCTGGACTAGGGGTTGATCCAATAATTGATTACAGATGGATCCAAGATGTAAAGAACAGTGCTAACTAGACTGCAGTAATCCTTAACCTATGATGACGCATATCAGACGTGTTTACGTTGCAAAATTGTGTAAGAAAGTCACGATCCTGTAGGTGATTCACAAGATGTCCTGTTCGGAAGTCTAGACGGTAAGCCAGGAAGTGTGAGCGGCAAGTTGGTATCGGAAAAGGTAAAGAAAAGAGGAAAAGCTTTGTTTCACATTAGTCATCATCATTTCTTAATATGTGAGTCAGTCTGATGTAAATGGTGACACCTGTAACACACTTTACAAGGATGCGTGACTCGGCCTGTTCCTGTTCAGACACACTTACACCGTCAGAATCACAGTTACACACCTACCTGAAACGTCTGTCCTTCACTGTACAAATACTCCACGACCTTCAAGGCCTGTGGCATTAAAGTGAAGGTAAATACAGAGGTGCCGTTGACCACATGTAAGATTAAATTACACTGATTAGTCCCACCAATTGTTTTCCCAACATGGTGTTCTTTAAGGACACGGCTTCTCAAAAACATTTACATTTTTGCTCTTTTTGGGTCCGTAAATCGGACAAGAAAAGGCTGTTGACTTTGGAACAAGACTGGGAATAAAAGTAATGTTTTGTTTTATTTAATCGTTATTTCCCCCAGGGCTGTCTCGCCGAGAGATTTCTTCTCATGAATCTCTTAAAGTTCAGACTTTTATCACCAGTGACATGATTATAATAGCCGGGGTACAGGAGCGTAGCACGGTAACCATATTTTACTTTGCCGTATCTATTTACTTTCAGTAAGTATCTGTTGCTTTGATCAGAAATTTATGAGTTTATTTATAGAAGAGCTTGAAATAAAGATAAATGACTCTAAATGGTCACAACGCATTTTGGAAGAGGAAAGAATGAGCTCTGGCTCCGTTTTCAAACGCTGTGTTGGTTGTAGTTTCATATTTAAGTGAACAGAGCTTCAGATTTGTCGCTTAATGGGATTCAGCTTCCTTAAGTGGCTGAATTTATCTCGGTAATATTTCATCTCTGATGAAATGATCAGAAAGGAATCCAGCTCCCTCTGAACCTTCTTGTGTGGCCCGACACGCTGCGGGAGCTCCTCGTAAAAAAAGAAAACGCAGGCGTCTCTCTCTCTCTCTCAGAAAGCTGCAGCAGCGGGAAATGAAGCGCGTATCGTGCAGACTTTGGGACCTGCTGTGGTCCTCTTCCTGTCACACGCAGCCGAGCGCTGGATGCGCGGCGCCGAGCGGCTTCCCTCGCTCGCACGTCGGCTACAAGGTCAACGAGGTCCCACATTTTCCCTGGTGATGGTTGCGGTGACTCGGGTGTCAGAGTTTTCCACGGTGAACTCGAATGAAACACGAGTCTTGATTTAAACCTGCTGCTCAGAGGAGAAGTTCGCACGGGGATGTGATGGGAGTTCAGCTTCATCGACATTCTCATTTTTATTTTACCAAATGCAAAACCTCGTTCTGTGGTGTTTTGCATTCGTGAATTCTTTTTTTTTTTGTCATTGTAAGAGTATTTTTTCCCGGGGCGGCAGTAAAAGCTGATGGGCGCCCTTAATTAAACTGGTGGTAAAACAGTCGGTTGGACAGTGAACACAAACTCCAGGCCTGCGTTGAGCCTAATGAGCTAAACAGTCAGAAGGTCGCATGGCGGCCTCTCTAACTCCACTAATCCCTTCTCTGCACTTCCATTCAGACCCTCGCTGCCTTTTTGCTCACCTAATCCCCTCCCTGGCAACCACGTAAAGCATTCTGCTTTCCCTTTGGCCGCCCCAATTATTTAAATATCAACAGAAATAATCGGTTGGTGTCCCGGTTTGTTTCGGAGAGGATATTAGTTTCGGTTCGTCTGTCGGGAATAGTACTTAAAGACCCGTGGACATAAAAAGACAAAAGCTCCCGGGGGACAAAAAACTCCTTCCAACCGGGGCCACTTCAAAATAGATCTGCTCAGCTGACTGGCAGCTTGGGAGCTGATGGCTATCAGGCGATGACTGTCGGGTGTGACAGCCCTGAATGGCTTCCTGTTTGCATGGGACGGGCCTGCAGGTGTCCTGTTGCCGCGGCACCTGTGCACTTAGCCGGGGACGAGGTTTGACAGGAAGCGGCCGCTCTGTGATCTGCCTTCTGCGCGGTGTCACTCAAAGCAGACGATGTTATTGGTTTTTACGTTTCAAGTCATCCTTTTCTTTAATTAACGCGACCGCTGGAGACATTTCCCGTCAGGTGCGCCTGCCGCGCTGATTTTACATGCTGGATGTTTAGCGTGTGATTTGTGACTGGTCCCGCCCGCCCCGGAGCCGTGCTTCTCCCTGGTGAGCGAGAGGCATTCGCACATGTTTGGAAAAGGTCAGTTTGTCTCCGTGGTCCGGCCCCTGTGATGGATTGGACCCCCGGGTCCTCGTTTTATGGCTCTCTGGACCCTTTGTGCGTTGACAAGGGCTCAGCGGCTACAGTGGGAGAGAAAGAATGGGTTTGTTTTGTGGACTCTCAGGTCCTCCTCCCCCCCCGGGGACATGGTCCAAAATGTCAGACTAATCATCAGGAACAAAAAAAATCGGAAAAATGATTGTAGGTTATATAACTGTTGTCCGGGACACATGTGCTGGATATTCGCAGCTTCTCAACATACGTGAAGTACATTTAGTTTGTTCACAAAGTTAATTTGTGATGTGATAATGTGATCATTTTGTAGGTGTGGAACATTTTCAACACGTCATCTTGTCCTGTTAGAATTGGGAAGAAGCCAATGTGTTAAATTCTATGGGAAAGACTTCAAATGTAGAAGCGCGATTGGACAAGACTCAACCTGAGTCTCGGTAAGCGTCTTGAAAAGCATTTTTCTTTTGTCTTCAATGAGGCTGTAGAGACTCAAGCCGATGCATGCAGCCGATCCTCCTCTGATAGCAGCTCCTGCCATTTGCTCCTCGCAGAAGCGAAGGAGTCTGAAGCGTTCTAATGCTCGTGACCATTGATAACGCCCGCTGCTTCTGGGTTTAAGCCGGCAGTTGGTGACCTGCCTCTGACCCCTAACAGGGAGCAACCGTTTCTCTCCCCCGAAGTACTACAGGGACATCTTCTGTGGAGCCCGTCACCGGGACTCACAGATAGTCACACCCTCTCCATTTCCTGCAGGATCCCAATGTTTAAAGGCAGGAGGTCGTGAAAAGCCGCCACAGTCCCAAGTTCCCGCCGGGAGACTTCAGCCTCCGACGGACAATATCCAAAGACACGGGCCGGCAGCGGGGAGATAAGGAGTCCCTTGTTTGTTTGATAAAACAGGAAACTCCTGCTGCTGGATACTGCTATGAATAGATGGCCACTTTGGCTCTGGGGGGATGAGAAAGGAGAAAGCAGTATACTTAGTGATGATGTGTATGCGAGAGGCTATTCTTGGTCTTTGGCCTGTAAGTAGTTTGTTGTGCTGGTGGAACAATAATTCAGAGCGAGTGCATCACACGTTCAGACACACACACACACACACACACACAGCAGTGCAACAAACAAACGTCAGAGTGGTCGATACGGATTGTGTCACCGCTACAAACCAAAAAGAGGAGTCCCTGCTAAAAACATCGCTCCCTAGTGTACAACACCTCCAGGCATTTCAACGCAGTCAAAATGCAGTTGGTGACCTTTGACCCCGAAGGAGGGAGAAAACGCCAGAACCGACTGCTGGTGATTGAGGGAGGCCAAAAAGTCACAGCGCAACAAATGGAGGGTTGGACCAATTTGTGCGAGCAGCCACTGTGAGAGCGACTCTACTGTCAGAGCTCCTCTGTGTGGGAACGGAGTGATCCAGCAGAGACGGGTCTCCGTCACCGAGCTCCATCTGCTGCATCATCATCATCATCCTGCCAAATGGAAAAGGTCTGGATAAGGGATTGAAGGTGGTCTCCTTCACCAGCACCACCAGGCGCTCTGGCTATGTGTGCTTAAGGTTCCCAGAGTTTTTTTGTTTGTGATAAACACTCACACAAACGGCTGTTTAGACTATTTCCCAGGTGTTTTAGAAGCCCTTCCAGATGTGTACAATCTGCTTGATTGCTGCTGTTTCAGTTCACTAATCAAATGTAGACAATTTAATGATCAAAACGGAAGATATGTGTGCAGAATGTCACCATAACCTGAAACTTGCTTAATGTCCACTTTGATGAAGTGTTTTCTTTTACAGAAAAGTTGAGCACTCATTTGCTTTTCCCACATACGGAGTCTCACCTTTACGCTGACGTAGCAGGGCTTCGCCACTGCGTCAGCAGTCTTTGGCTTTCTGTTGGAATGAAGGTGTGCCTCTGTTTCATCAGGAAACAGCGTGCAGCATTCTGCAGGATCAGAAATGCGTTAGTTTTTCTGCCAAGTCACATGCACAATTAAAGTAGTAAAACAAAAAAGAAGTTCACGAGCTTGGGAAAGGATGGTTCTCTTTACACAGAACAAATGAAAGAGAAGAGAAATGTAGAAACACTGTGGT